TGTAAAAACACTGATCCTGAGCAAGAATAAGGATTATAAAAACTGCATCAGAATGTTTGTTAGTCCCAGGAGAGTCAGAAAATGCCATTTTTTGCAGCTATGTGCCACTTGCTTCATACTGTGTCTCATGATTTTTTGGATACCGTTTGATAATCAAATTGTGAGCCATATGAAGTCCTATTCCTACAGATACCTCATAAATAGCTACCATTTTGTGAATGACAGCCTGTCTATCAGCAGGGATAACCTGAACAGGGTATCAAGCTACCCGTACTTGATCAACCACAGAGAGAAATGTCAGCAGCAGGATGTCCTTCTCCTACTGTTTGTGAAGTCTTCTCCTGAAAACCGTTACCGAAGGGATGCAATCAGACAAACTTGGGGTGATGAGAAGTATGTTCGTTCTCAACTTAATGCCAACATTAAAACCCTTTTTGCTTTAGGACGCCCGACACACCATGAGCAGAAAACACGGCAGCAAAGAGAACTTGAGCTCGAAGACCAGAAATACCAGGATTTGATTCAGCAAGACTTCTTGGATACTTTTCACAATCTCACTCTTAAATTGCTTTTGCAGTTTAGCTGGGTGAAGGCCTACTGTCCTCATGCCAGGTTCATTATGTCTGCAGATGATGACATATTTATCCATATGCCAAATCTCATTGCTTATCTCCAAAGCCTCACGCAAATGGGTGCTCAAGATCTCTGGATTGGTCGTGTCCATCGCGGATCCCCTCCCATAAGAGACAGGAGGAGCAAATACTATGTTCCATATGAAATGTACCAGTGGCCCTCTTACCCTGACTACACAGCAGGAGCTGCATATGTAATATCAAATGATGTAGCAGCTAGAGTCTATGAGGCTTCATTGACTCTGAATACAAGTCTTTATATAGATGATGTTTTCATGGGTCTCTGTGCCAATAAAGTGGGAATTGTACCACAATATCATGTATTTTTTTCTGGGGAAGGAAAAGCTCCATATCATCCCTGCATTTATAACAAGATGATGACATCTCATGGACACGTAGATGATCTTCGCCAGCTCTGGAAGCAGGCTACAGATCCCAAAGTTAAAGAGATTACTTCAGGGATTTGGGGTAAAATTTATTGCAGACTGGTCAATATTGTGCTTCTCTGTAAACTGTACTATGTGGACACGTATCCTTGTTCAGCTGCGTTTTCTTAATACTTGAATATCTGCATTGAAGATCCACTGAGCCAAGACAGAGCAACAACATTTTAGGTGTTTATCCAAAATGTATGTAAACATGGAAAGAGGTAAAATTTACACGTGAATACTTGGGGTGGGCAGAGGGAGAGGAAGAAGATGGTCCCAGGGTCCCAGATTCTGTTCAGAGACTTATTGGAATAGCTCTCCTGTTGTATTTGTACTTTTTATATGGTAGCCTGTTCTTTTACACTCTTCAAGGGATGCAAGTCTGGATTATAAGTGAACTATAACGGACTTGACTTCTAGACTTTGAAATGCTTGTTGAAAATACCTGTTTCTTTGAACTTGTCAGTAAGTCTTAATGGCTTTTATAAAAGTTATGTGAACTAAGGCATGTGGCAAAAACCCCCTGTTATATCAGAATGGAGTAGACCTTTCAAAGCATGAGGAAAGTGTAACTTCTGACTTGATGAATGAGACTATCACAGTAGTTTAAAGTAGTGTCAAATATTCACCATTTCTCAGTGCTTCATACGAAGTCAGTCTGGACCTGCACAGCTGACAAATAGTGAGTGGTAGAAGTGAAGACCTGCTACAATTGTTTTCTCAAAGCTGCCTAAATCTTTGAAATAGGGAAACAGTATTTGGATGCCCTCTGACTTGGTGGTTAAATAACAAAGGAACCTCCTTTAGAACCTGAAGCTATAAAAAACCAAATACCACTCATGTGACTGGTTGGGCTAATAGTTCTCTGTCTTCCAAAGATTGAATCAGCACATTTAAAAAGTCCAATCTTCATAAGCAAATAAGTTGTTAGTTTTCATCTAATAATGCTTCTGTTTTCCTGTATTCTAGAAGTGAAAAGTCCCTGGGAATGTTACTTAGAGCTAGGTAAAGCCTTAAAAAAACCAAAATTTCATGCTTGTACTAACAGAGACGGAGGATGTTTTCTGTACAAACTTTGACTTTGCATTGAAGGGATAGGGACATGGTGATTCACACGAACTCAGTACACAAATCATAACAACTAAAATATTTCTTCTGAAGTCAAAATTGTCTTTAAAATTTCAGGGTTGTTGGTGTCCATAAACTCCTGTACCTTGAATATGTCTCAACATTAATATCACTTGCAAAGGAACAAAATGCCTGTGCTTTGTAAGCCAAAAGAGAGCCAAGTGATGTGCAAACTGCAGCCCTTATGAGTTGTCCTGTGGTGCCACACAGATACTGCAGAGAACCAGAGCTGCAGGCTGCCTGCAGCCCTTGCACAGCTCAGTCATGGTGCTTCCACAGACTCTCAGGACAGATATTTTAGCTGCTAATTGCCAAACCTGTGGCAGCTGTACAGGACTTGCTAGTTTGAAGCTGTGAGTAGTAAACTTGGTGTAGCTAACTGCTACTGCTCTTGGAGCTGTGCTGCAGGTTTTCTGGTTTGAATGGATAATGGCATCTGTCAGTGCAGACAGAAGCCAGGAGTGAGCTTGCTGACTGCCCTCTAAGCTGTTCAGATGGAGGGTAGGTAGTTACTGGAGCCAAGTCAAACATGTAACTTTCTATCACTGGTTTTGCAGAAGGAAGATAATAAGGTTCCTAACTGGTCCCAAATGTGGGGCATATAAAGAGCTGACAAAGAAATCATTTATCAGTGTCAGAACAACTGACAAGTATAACAGCTATACTTCAGAAGGAACAAATCCAATTCCTTTCTTGCCTAAACAAATGGATAATAGTACTGGGGATGTAGATCTTTATAACCTGTTGCATACAGAGAAAATAAATGCACATAAAGAGAAAGTATTGTATATTGAAGGAAAGCTGCTTCATCAGATTTCTGACTTCTTGTGAGCCATTTAAATCAACAAAGCTGCACAGCAAAACTGCACTGCTAGAAAAGCCACCCTGTTCACTGAAGGGAAAGAGGGTCTGCATATGCAGTATGCAAGCAAAATGTGCTAGTAAGACTGTAGTCTTCCAGCATATCTACGTGTTGGGATTTGTTTTCACTCGTACATGCAAAAGTAAGGTAATCTTTAAGTAGCTTTAACTAGCTAACATCTAAAACGCTGCTTAAATGTATTTGCCATTATCTGAAAATCACCATTTAGACCATTGAAATACTTTGTTTTACAGTTGGTTTGAGCTTTGTTGGGATTGTTTCTTAATCTTAAAAGGGCCTTGATGTTTGTAGTATGCATTTTCTTTTGCTGCAGTGAAAAGAAGTTGCTTGTTGAATAAAAGGAAAGCATGAAGGCACTCCTTTCAAAAAGTAGAAGAGACATAGAAAACTTCATATTTTCTGGTTCTAGACACAAATGAAGATTTGTACACTTCCATCAGGAATCTTTTTTAACAATAGTCTCAGTGCTCCAATGCAGGGCTGATAGGTTTTACTTCAAATAAAACTGTATCAGCCTGAATGGTCACTCCTCATTAAGAGTTTGACATTGTTGCACAGCATATTTAATGCTATTTTTTTATCTGTTTGTTTGGTTTGCATCAGTTTCCCTTTGATATTACTAATTTTTATACAAAGTATTCAATATTTATTCTTAAACTTTGCTCTGTACCACAGAAAGACAGTTGTTTTGTAAAATTTGTTTTGAATAAACAGACTTATTTCTTTTAAAAAAACCTAAGAATACAGAAAAGATAAATATATCTTGTTGCATTCTTTGTAACTGATTGGATCAGTTCTGATACTTTTTTAAGTGTTGTTCTGAATTCCCTTTTAGAAGAGACTTCAAACTGCTCCTCTTTCCCCACCCCCTCATGTGTGCAAAAAGCAAAATTGGTGTTCCCAAGAAAGGAGAGAGCTCACAAATTTGTTTACCAAGCTTCTAGGTCTAAAGCTGTATAAAATTGCCAGGTATTAGAAGCTGTACCTGTTGTTAATGTTATAATTTCTATGTTCTCTTCAGGCAGCCGTTCCCCTGGAGATGTGTATCTGTCTACACAAGATTTCAGATCATACTTTGCACCTTTGGAAAAGTAGCTGATGGTCTGGGGACCAGACATGGTATTTTCATAGGGTATAATTAAATTCAGATAATTATGATTTGTCTGTCTCTCCAATTTGTCTGACATAATGTATCAAGTTAGAGTTTTTACAAATGGAGTCATTCACATCAGGTAACTCCAGTGTACAAGACAGGGGCATAACTAAAGCACAAATTATCTAAATGATAGTGAAGAAGAGAACAAAGGAAATGAAGTCAGGATTGTGGCATTTGGCTTCTTGCAGGGGGGTTTTCTTGTGGGTTTTTTGTTTTCTGGGGTTTTTTTTTAATTGTTCCCTTTGGCCTAGAAACTGCAGTTCAGCTAAAATTGGGTTTGCTTGATACTTTTTGCTGAAGTAAGTCATTTAAGTATCTGGTGCTTTAGAATGCATTGTTAATAATCTTTTTCTCAAGCTTTTGCAGAAACTTGAGCTTGCAGTTAAAAAACCCAGAAGCTCCTGAGAGGTACACAGTCAAATGTGAAAATTCTGAACATTATGAGAGGATCTTTTAACAGCAGGGTTTTTTTGTAAATACATGCAAGGCTTATTCTAATGACTTCTTTCCTCACATCTTGTAATTAATGCTTCTAAGAGGAAAAAACCTGCAAAAAAGCCCCAACATGAACAAAAGATAACTCTTATTTGCTTTTCCATCTGATAGACTCAGTATAAATGCATGGCTGTAAGCATTTCAGTGACTTCATTATTGCTAATTATTTATTAATCTTGGCGAACTTCAAAGAGGCTGTAGAGAATGTACTACAAATGCAGCAATTTGCATTCTAAGAAGAAAAAAAAATATATAGTGGCTCATGTGTGCAGCCTTACCTCCTCCTTGTCGACAAGTTCTCATCACTTTCACTGGTCACCAGGACTCTGCTGGATCCTCCTTGACTGGCTTCATGCATCACTTCAATCTGAATGAGAAGGACATGTTAAAACTGAAAATACTTAATTGCTGATGCTTTTATTTAGAGAACTTTAACTCTGAAAGAATAAAAACCAGATCCTACCTAACCTAGAAAGTCATTAGACAAGTTCAAATAATTGAATTCTTGATGTGCAGAAATATCTCCTATTTATATTCTCCATCTTTGCTCAGTGTTGGCATGGAGGCATTCCTTACTCCAGGCAAAGTCATTATATTCTTGTACCACAGAAGGGGAATTATCTCCTTGTGTAGATAATTATGGGCATAATAATCTGTTCCTTAGACTCTGGAAGACTATTTTTTCATTTCCTGTCTGAAGCCAGCCCAAAGAATTCACATTTCCAGAGTTCTTTGTAGAATGCCCTGTGAAGAAATGAGGGAATCCTCCGTGTGCCTCTGAGAAGTGTCAGAGTCCCAGCAGCAGTGCTGGGTGAGGCAGTGCTGGGCACAGGGGCTGTGCAGAGCCCGTGCCCAGGCTGCAACAGAGCTTTTGCACAGCTCCAGTGTTTGTTTTGATAACACTCTCACACTCCCTTGTCCGGTCTTGCAGAGTTGGATCATTTCAAGTGCTTTCCAGGCAAGTTTTAAGCAGGCTTTTCCTCCTTTTGCCTGCAGTTTTAAGAGCAGCAAGCATTACTTGCACTTACTGAAAAGCCAATCTATTCAAATTCAGTTAAACAACCCATCTGCTGAGTTTGCTGTTAATCCAAGCCAATATCTAAATCCCAGCAGAATCCAACTTCCTGAGCACTTTCATTTTTAAAGGCTGATTCTTACATTCTACATTGCTAAATTATTTAGCTGGTTGATGATAATGATGGAATCCAGTAATGAACTATCCTCATCTGAACTATTATCAGAACAATGGGAGCATAGGGAGGGGGCATAATTGCAGTGTAGTCATGGGAAGTGGATTTAAAAATTAATGAATGGATGTTTTATAAAGCCTATACCACACTGCTGCATACACCTAACTATGTGGGAAAAATGCAACTGATTACCTGCATTACTGATGAGAGTAAAACTAATTCTAAAGTCACTTTCTGTGAGTTTAGCCAAAGAGGAGACCACCTGTATGTTCCTGCTGGTAACTGTTCTGTGCTTATTGCTGAAGTTGTGGGCTATGCTGGCCATTTCAGAAAATCGACTGCATTTAATTTTTGCTTTCAGCTTCAGAGGAATAAAGATGAAATGAACAAGTCAGGGGTGTGGATAACAGACAAGTTGGGTTAAAGTAGCTTGTCCTTATCAGAGAATTAAGTTAGCAATGCTCCTTTTTTTTTTTTTTTTTTAATTCTAAGTATAGGTATGTAAATATATTTATGAGGTTTTGAGTTCTCTCACAATATGAGATGTCCCCAAATTACAAGTAATCCTACCTTAATTCCACCTTTTGTCTTCTTAATGCTTTTCTTTTTTGATAAGTCTACTTCAGAAACAGTCTTTGGAGGGCAGGAAATTTCTGTAGACCTCCTGTTGGTAGCTGAAAGAGTAAAAAAGAAAGTAGAATTAGAAAATGTGCTAAAAGTTAAAATTCCACTTCCTAATAAAAGCAATGAGCAAAGGGGTAAATGAGGCCTGGCTTAGAGAACTGAGCTGTGCTGGAGCACTGATGGACTGGGTGGAACAAGGGATGAGTCCCCTTGTTCAGTGCTGCACTGTCTCAAACTGGCATCTTCAGCTCCACACTGAAAGGATTACTTTGGTTTGGCTTCCCCTAAGAAAAGCATCTTTAGGACAGCACAGGTAAATGTTAGCCAGCTGTACCAGCTTGGGTAATTGCCACTTGCATGGTGTTGCTTGTGTGGATTCCCAGGAAATTTTGTTTCTGGTAATGGTTTGCTGCTTGGTGTTGGATGAAAGGATGTTCCCTGCAAGGTTTCATTACATGAACAACTCTCAAAACAGTAATCACAGGAGTTCAGCAAGGCACAGTGACAGGTGTGTAAGGACAGAATCTGAGCATATTATTTCAGAATATGCCCTGTTGTGTCAGCTTTGGGGCCCTTGCAGGCTCTGAAAGACTCAGCTGACACTGAGGCTCCTGGACATCCTTAACAACAAAAGCACCTGTGCTGAGCCTGCTGTCCGAAGCAAAGGGTTAGACTGAACTATGAGAAGGGAAATCATACATTTGGCTTGAGTAGAAAATAATATCTGTTACAGCTTTATCTTTGTTCTAGATTGGTAATGAGTTCACAGCACATGCAAGTACAAGGCCAACAGCACTCTTTCTCTTCTTCATTGCTGAATTTATGTTTTCACCATTCATGTCATGGGTGAAAACATGTATGACAGCCAGGTGAAATACTGAAAGAATCTGGGTCAGGCAACAAAGAACAAAATTGAGGTAAAGTCCTTTTTTATTCTGGAAAAACTATAATTGAAGAAGCACTTTTTCTAAGAATAAAAGCTGGTGCTTTCAAATGCATCTGGCAACATTTTGTTTAAGAGAGTTTCACCAAGTTTAATGTTTTGAAGTGTTGAGAGTTTTGATAGTCATTAACTTCTTCTTCTTTGGGAGAAGCTGAAGGATACAGTAAAAAAGATGAAGACTTCTTTGAATGAGGAGGACTTAGTATCAAAGGTTTGATGTAGGAGAGGTCTGAACACTTTTTTAAAAGAAACACCTTAACAAAGTTTCAAATGCCCTTGTCATTTTGCATACTTCTTTTAAAGTCGTTTTTAAAACGGCAAAAAGAAGCACATAGAAGCACCCACATTATATTCAGTTAAAAAGGCAACATATCAGTTTCACAGATGATAATAATGGAAGCTGACATTTCTTCTACCCTGTCTTTTCAACAGCCTTATCACAGAGCTGGGAAGAGAATTAATTAAAGTAGCCTGTCTCTAACTCTTCCCTAAATCTTGGATTTATCCGATGCTGAATGACATAAGGACTTGGCAATGCCCATTTCATGCCTGTTACCTCCTCACAATGACTCCATACTAGAAAGTTTCCTCAATGGAACAGTGAAATCTGGCAGTCACCAGCAGCTATAATCAACTGGTAGAGAATTCTTGTAGTTTCCAGGACTGAGCTGAAATGCAAATGTCTCTTTTTGGCTCTCCCATCACTCTTTCAGAATATACAGCAGGGGATTTGTTTTGACTTTGAACACTACTTTCAACAAATATCTTTTTCCTATCCCCAAGCAAGCTCTCCCTGAAGTAGTATTTATTCTCTCAAAGGTATTTTTATTTCACTCAAAAATGTACTGACATTTTGGTACCAAGGGAACAAAAAGATGCAAGATGCAGCACATGGAAACTATTGATCCCAATTGTCAAACTTCTTCATGCCATTCTGATCTGCAGGGAGGGTGACTGCTACTGTTGGCAAAACCTGAATATTTGGTAAGTTTTCAAATGGGTCCTTTTATGTGTTTTCCCATTAATCTTTGAGTAAAGTGCCTGTAAGCATCAGCAAATTCACCCTTTTCTGTATTGATGCAGCCTGGAGTTTCTATTTAGCCATAAAGTCTCTACCACCTCATGACAAAACAGGCTGTGATCAGACATATTACACTAAAAACTATTATCTCCTGGAGCTTCTCCCAGCTTTATCCTATTTATACCTTGAAAACCAGTATTAAGAAAATAGATCTGAATCTTGGCCACCAAGATATTGTTTCATAATCTTAGCCACACTTGAATACCCTTGATAGGCTGCCAATGTCTAGTTGCCCTCTCTAAATCTGAGTTCAGTCCCTTGGATTGCTCTACAATCCAATTCACAATGGATATGCAATGGAAATTAAGGGAAGCAACAGAAATGACTTCAGAAAACATGAGGACTTTTGCTTAGAAGAGCATAGTCAGCAATACCAAGTTGTTTGGCTTATTCATTATTCAGAAAATTTCATAGCTTGAAGGAGTGGTTGATATTGGTATGAAAACCGTAGGTGAAAGCAATCAGCAGAAAAAGTGGAAATCAGTTACAACTTTGATGTCTGGATCACAACTTGCAAGCTCAGACAGCTCCAGGTGATGCAGGAAAGAGCACAGCACAGTTTAAATGAAAGATGACACATTCACAAGAAGTTAAACTGCAGGTGCTCCTTGCTCCAGCAGCAAATTTCTCAGGTCAGTTTACAATTTGAGTCTTGGCTTCTTCAGCGTGACATATTTCAGAAAAGGAGACAAGATATGAAAGCAGTCAAATTCCACTGAGTCTGTTTCAGAGATGAATTTGATTCATATTGACACAGAAAACTTCCCTTGCCAATTAGACCCAGAAATGAACTGAAAACAGGAAACAAGCTGCTTTGGTTATGCTCTGGAGAATTTTTCAGTTATTGACTGGCCCATAGTCAGAGACTGCTACATGTCACTGCATTTAAGTAGTTGCTGAAGCAGTACAGAAAGAAACAGCCCAAATACCTGCCAATTATTATTGCATTAATTACTGTGGAACTGGAAATATAAGGGAAACTCCCTCACAGAATTCAGTACAGTTGGCTGTTTTGAGGTCAGTACAGTATTGTCTTGCTGAAGAAGCTAAAAATTACAATGTTGAATTGCTTACTGAAAGAATAAAGCACAGGAACAAAGGAGAACTAGAAATTATCTAATGTCTGCATGGTTGCAGAGCTGTTTTCATCCTATTGTTTCACAGTACTCCTCTGGATGATACATAATGGTAATTTCATTTTGAATTCATTAGTATTTTTAATTGCTTGATGCTGCTTTTAAAGCAAATATTGTCAAAGGACATTGTAAAGCAGAGTTTGTGTCTGTCACTTGCATTCACCTGGAGCACCACTACACTTTTCCAATGGGGCTTTAGTATGTCTTACTGTTTTTTTATGGACAAGTTGTATGACAAGTATGGAATCACTGTTGTGTTATTTAGCCCACAGAAAATGGTAAAGTGAGCTGTACTGTCCCTAAAGCTGTTAGTAAATGACAGAGACTCATGTGCTCTGTCTTGCTTTGCTCTCTCTCCACCCCTCTAAGACTGAAATAAATTCAGTGAGGAAAACTTGCTGTGCAGCTTGTGAGAAAAAGCTGTGGTTTCACCCATTCTGCCCCCTGCTCCTTTGTGGCAGGACACAGGCACCACTCTCAGGTGCTGATCTCTTACAGTGGAGGCTGCATGCCCCACTGAGGGACAGACAGAACTGTGGGCAGCTCCCAGGTGCTCAGAGACAGCTGGATTAGTTCATCTGGGTAAGTGGCTCTAAGTTAGCTCCTGCTAGAAGAAGTGCAACTCATTAGCTAGCAAGGGACCATAGCCAAGGGTTACAAATCATACTCAGCACCTGTAAGATATTCCAAGCCCCCTTCAAGTGAACACCACACTTCACATTCAGGTTTGGGGGAGGATTCCTCCATCATGTTCTCCCATCTGTTTTCTGTATGGGTTTGTGCATTCTCACTCATCACCTCCAGCAGAATTGAATTCTTTTGGCAAGAACAAGCATGGGAATAACTAGTGTGCTAAACTTTATTGGGGCTTGCTGCTCATGCTCTACAACAGGAGCAAGAGTTTGAAGATAATTAGTGGCTTAATTGCTATTTTGAATGCTGGTGATGGCAAAACAATGTTTAGGCAGCTAAAGAAACATCAGAGCAGCTATGGTTTGTCACTTAATGGCTTAGGGCAGAAAGACTTTGCCCTTCTTAGGCAATATAATTTAGACTTCTCTCTGGCAAAATTTCTGTCAAGCCCCCTGAAAATCTGCTGAAATAAGAAGCACAGAGCAAGATTTCTGGATGTGGAATATTCTGCTACAAGGAGACACTACTTGGTTTCCTCAGACTGGCCCAAGTGTAATAGCAATCCTACAGCCACAAAACTGAAAGTATCTTTTCCTTTTTACAACTTCATTTATAGAAATATACTGAACCAGAAAACCAGTGGTTTCTCAACCATTCAGGAGTCACACACACCATCTCTTCTGAGTCAGCTAATCTCACCACAGCCTCACTTCCCCTGCACACATCCCCAGATTCTTGCAAGAAATTCTTCCTTTATCCTCTGTCCAGATGTTATTAGTTAGTGAGTGTTATGCACTAGTGACTGTGAGGAATGCTGGACCAAATCCAAACAGCAGTTGTATACATTTAACTGAGATGGAACCAGCTTAAATTTTATTATTTAAAGAACTGAGAAGGCTTCAGCTGTGTTTTCTCCCCATGAATCTTGTGTTCCAAGTTGGCCTTCTAAGATGCTTGGATGGTGAGTCATGGATTTTGTATGTGCAATGTGCTGTTAAACATGTTATTTGTTTAACAAGCTCACAGACATTTTGACATCTCTACTCCTGTATTTCACATTTATGTTGCCCACAAAGAACTCTCTAGGTGAATATTTTATAGCACTTTGTGCTGCCATGTTCCAACTCTTGTCAGAAAGGTAGCTAAAGCAAGACATTTTTCCTAACCATGGTCACTGAGATGGCCAAATCGCCTTTTACTGAAATTTTCCAAGAACGTGTGAGTTTGAAGGGAATAGCCTTTGGGAAAGTTTCATTTCAAAGAGTAAGAGTTTGGGAGAATTACAAGCAAATTAAAATAGATAAATGCTAACTGCAGTAATTTCTAATTGTTTGTATTATCCTTTACAGTTCTGTAGTTCATCTCTTTGTGTGATTTGACTCTGTGGACCTACTCCAATTCACTCCATGTTAAAGTGTTTTGCATAGAAATGCAGAGAACAAATATGTAGTCAAATCATCAAAAATTATGCCCTCAAAAGTGAATCACAGCAAAAATATCAAGTGCCACTTATTTCCTCCCAGCAGACATAGGGACAAATTTAGCTATTAGAATTCAAGCAGCTTCCACTGGGAGAAAATGGAGTTCTCCTTAAAATAAGGTGTCATATATACTACTTAAATATTTTCAAGGCTCTTATCATAAAAAGGTCAACAGAGTTTTCTGCCTTTTCAGGGTTGATCTGTGAATAACATTTAATCAAGTTCTCACAGCTAAAACATGCACCAAATACAGCTGCCACAGACTTTTCAGCATCACAGTAATTCCAGAACTAGTACTTCAGGCTTGAACAAGACTGTCCCTGCAAAATATGGAAGTCCACTTGTGAAACCAGAAGCATCAAGCAAAATTGGGATTAATGTAAAATTTTTCTTCAGAGTTTCCAGACCCATAGAAAAGTGTTGACCAAAGGAGAGTCAATTCTGAGCTGCTATTCTGGATCTTCACTGAGCTAAAAGATTGCTGAGAGTCACAAAAAACCATAAGGACATGCACATGAAACTGTGACAGTCATTTCCCCAACAGAAACCTGCCCTTTCTCTCAGATATGGTATCAGCTATGCCTGTGTGCAGAAAATCCATCTCTGCCCACACATTTGTCCATGTAAAATGAAAAGTCTGAAAGTTACAATAATGGAGTGTTTAATGTCTGAGCCTTCATATCTGTGAAGATTTTTCCATTAGCACCCTGAATTGGACTGAATTTTCCCTACTGCTCCCAGTTAGGAAAATGGAGAGTCAGCAAGGAAGAACAAAACAAAATCTATTCTGGAACAAATGTAACTTCTTTTCCTTTCACAGACCAACCACCCCAGTGCTGCCATGGTATTGTTACTCTGCTGCCTGGGGATAAAAGCCTTTCTTTCTGGTCTTCTATTTCTGTTTACCACATTTTATTGCCTTTGCTTGCCTTTCTATTTACACAATCTAGGAACATGGTATTTTCCTACTGTCATATTCCACTTTGCAAGCTTTCAGAAATATTCAGGTATGTCCTGGGTAAAATATGACAAATGAGTTACAAAACCTGTTTCAAGAGGGTGTCCTAAGCCTCGCTCAGTTTCCAATATATTGCTTAATAAATTCTCCTCATAGGTAAATGCTGATTGTGCATTGATGCCATGAATGTGAAGAAAGGACACAGAGGAAAGTCCAAAAGACAGTAGCTTCAAGAAGAGCAGAATTTCAAAGCCTCATTTTCAGGCTTGTAATAGGATTCAGTGTCCCTGTTTCTATTCTCAGACACGTTTCAGAGTCAGACTGTGACACACCTTGGTGAATTCCTCAGTTTATCTTGCTTCAGTTTTCTTTCTGAAAAAAGAGGTTAAAATACTGACCAGTATTGCCAAGTGCATTCTGAGGGAAAGGGCACTCAGGAATTCCAAAGTGTGACTCTCTGTAACAGACAACTGGATAACACCAAAGTGATTCATAAAGAACATGTGAATATACATGTACTATTCGTGGCTGTTAAAGTCACTGACTGAGAGCCCCTGGATGAGCTGTAGATACTCAGGCACTTCTGTTTCTTTGCACAGAGGTACTCCTGGTCAGTCACCTCCTAGAATCTGAATGAAATGGCAGAGTCTGCTTATCAATGTCTGAACAGAACTGGGTTGCACTTTGCACCTCCTCACAACCAGAGTAGCATTTTAAAATAAATTTCAGCTACTTATTATTTTGCAACAGGACATTGAAGGCTAAGCCTTGTCACACAGTTATCCTCTTGGGTTGTACAACTATGTACTGCAATTCAAGGGACAGAGCAAGGCAGCATCTCATGACTTTTTGTGAAAGAGCTGATGGTATGTGGGATGGGCTGTATGAACAAGAATCACAACTTAACGCACTGTCATAAACCAGTGACTGTTCTATAAGGTTCTATCTATATCAATAATTTATTCTAAAAATCTGCAAATGTGCTAAAATGACAAGAAAGAAGTTCAAGAAACAGTTCAAGAGACTGCAGGCATAAACAGAATGGCAAGATTAGCTTTTAGCCTGAAGATGCAGTTTCAGAATTGGTAAAAGCCATCCTAAAACTGTGCTGCCACTGACAGGAACTAACTGGTTCTGACCTACTGACCCCATAACCCCATTTTCTGCAACTTTTTTTTCCCTTTGTTTCAGCACTAGTGGCCATGCAGTGAGCAATCTGATGAATGCTGTAATTAGTGCTGCTTGGAGCACTGACTGGGCTGTGTGATCTCCAGAACTCCCTGCATTTTTCTAACTCTTGCAGTGGAAGAAGAACTACTACAGTTTTGCAGTCTATTTTTTCAGTTTTTAAGGCAAATCACAACTCCAGAAAACTGACTGCCCACCCCAGTGCAAGAGGGGAGCACAGTGCTGGAGGATGGGTGTGTGGCAGAGCAGGACCTCTTCACAGGCATTGTGTTCTCAGCTTGCCTCAAACTAAAAGAGAAGCTGAAAGTTGAGGTGGGAATTGTACATACAAAACACAGCCAGCATGGTTTGGGGGAAAAAATGTACAGATGTCAAATCAGCATGGGAATGGGGAAAAGATCATTTTCCTTTGGAAGAAAGGATGGATGAATGCTGGGGAGCAGAGGAGAACAGGGACATTGGTGTCACTTTCTGCTGGTATGCCTAGAAAGCAAAATGGTCAGGCTACTGGCCATCCATCTCATCAGGAAGATTCCTGTTGAGAAAGCAGTTTATTGAATGCTCTTTGGGCAAATTAGAGGGGTTTTTAAAGGCTTTGTACTAAAAGTTCCCCTTTTGAACAGCCCTAAAGGTTACAAAGGGACAACCTCTTCCTGCTACCAAGCACAGGGTAGCTGGTCTCCAGGATACAGTTTCTAATTAGCTTCACCCTTGTTCCTTTTGCAGGAAACAGCTATTTTAGCTAAATGCACGTGCTAACCTCAAATCAGGAACTTTCAGTAATTTCCAAACAGAAGCAATGCTCAGCTTCTGTGATAGCAGAGGACAAAGTAGAAAGTGAAAGGTAGAAAATGAACTAAGGTCTATGTAGAGGGGGGAAAAAATTCCACAAATTAGTCAGTGTCACTCACTAATGGACCCTTAATTTTGCAAGTATCTGATTGAAACTTGAGGAATTATGACACTTGAAAGCCAAATATTCACATTACATTATCTGCAATATAAAAGAGGTTCACATGCTTGCATTGCAGGCTTGCATTGACTACCCTGGTGTGGGTATTTGAGAATTAACAATACAAGACACACTGAGACACAGTATGGAAATGTACTCTGCAGATTAGACCTAGGAAGAGAAACCTGGTGGGTTTTTTTGATTCACCCTTGTTGGTATGTTTGCAGTGAGAGATATTTCATATTCATTTTTACTAGCTGTTCCTACGAGGCTGACACTGCACATCAAATTCAAGTGTTCCTTCTGATAACAAAATGTTCATTCTGATAACAAAAATCAAACATGACCATGTGGACAAAACATTGGTGTGAGTCTGAAAGCAGCTGCTCAGTGCCTACCTACTGCTGCTGGTCTGGTAATCTTTGGTGATGCTCGCTTTGGGGAAGATTCAGGATGTGGAGCAACAGGTTGTACTGGCCGGGTCTGTTTGGCTGCCAGCTTCTTCAGACTGACTTGCCTCTTGTCAAACATTTCTTGCACATCTTCGAGTTTTTGTACAATTCTTTGGGCATTGGCCTTGACAAAGAAAAGGCAAACAACAAATGGTTGTCAGTGCTGGACTGAGTGAGTGAAGAAAAGACTTGTATTATCAGACTCAGACTAGAGCTGGAGATCACACTGTGCTGCAGTTTATTGCAGCCCACACACTCTGCCCAGATCACAGTCTCTCTGACCAAGACATGGTGACTCAAACTGTTCCTAGCACTGCTCTGAAGAAAATGGCTTAAGTGTTGCATGACTGCTCTTATGAGTAAAACTTACTGCCACAAATACTGACCTCTGTGCCCTTTTAGTGGAGGGAAAGAGGCATATTTTAGCAGACTCAAATATATAGCCCAGTACACTTTCATGGACAAAGCAATAGGAAATGTTTAACTTCCAAGTGAGTACATGCACATCTGAGGGGTTTTACCTTTATTTCAGGGGTGAGGATCATGTCAAACTGATTGTAGAACTCCTTTGGGTTGGAGAGCTGGTGTTCCTTAGCTGTTACCAAGAACTTCTCAATTTCAACGAGTGCAGTTTCAGCTCCCTCTTGTGACTGGCACTTGTCCACAGCTTGGGAAGCTAAGAGGTAGATTCCAGCTTCACACCATTGGCTTGCCTTCAAGGAAAAGTGGGGGAAGAAGGACTTATCATCACTGACAGTCCAAGTTGTCAGCTGTTGCTTCAACTCTATGAAAAGCAGATTTGCCCTAACATGTCATTAAAAGGGGATCAATGTTACTCATAGTATGCCTGCCCATGGATCCTGCCCACAAGTCACCCTATCAGCATGTGCAGAACTGAACTTGCTGAACTGATGCAAAGCTCCAATATTTATACTAATATTTACTGAATAAAACGGAGAAAAAACAAACAACTTTTTATCTTCATCATAATTACCTGAGCTAATAAAATCCTTCATTTTTAATAGAACCTGGCCAGAGCTGTTATCTGAGAGGGTTCACTCACCTTATCTAACTGTTTATGCAGCTCAAGAGACTTTCCCAAAATATCATACTTTTTCTTGGTCTCATTGGTAAAATCATCACAAATTCGCCTGAGTTCAACACACTTTGGTCTAATGGAGTCAACTGCATAATGGTTGTTTTGGATGAGCTGTTCTCCATGGAGAGCCAGAGACTGGGCCTTCTCCAAAGGTTCCTGTGAAATTAATGAGAAAAATCCAGAGTTAGAATTACATGCATAATAAGGAAAATCCTTCTCTGTAACCCCTGCTGTAGCCTGGGGATAAAGGTTTGGAATATTAATATAGCTGATATGTCTTACTTTATATTGAATTGAAGGCCAGCTTCCATGTCAATGAGTACATTGAAATTTGTGAGGTTCCATCTGAACACCAGAAAGCACATTTTTGTTGTGAGGGTGACCAAACACTGGAAGAGGCTGCCCACTGAGATTATGGAGCCCACTTCTGCTTTCTCACATACTGGGGACGTTCATTATACAAGTTTTTCCCTACTTTTTCCCCTAGTTTACCAAGCAATTAAATGGAAGTGCTGGGTCTGAACAACCCTGGCTTCTGGAAATTAGGATGTGTGGTTTGCAATTTAAAGTAATGACTCATGAGAAGAGAGTAAATCTGGACACACAAAAAAAAAAAGGACAGTGGCAAGTGTCTAGAATACCATGTCTATAGCAGCTAGAACACTAAATTGAGAGCAAACCTGTCCTTTCTCTTCCAGATGTTTCTGTTCCTTGAGGAGGTTCTCAACTCGAGTCACACTGTCTCCAATATCAGTAAAACCTGCTTGTGTTTCCATAAGATTATCCAATGTTAATTTTACCTAAAAAACAGCAACAACAAAAACATAAACCAAAACAAAATAAACCTACCCAAAACCCCATCACAAGATATTGACAAAAATTACAACAAACATTCTCCTACATCTCTGAGAAAAGTCTGCATCTCAAGTTTAGTCTTTCAGTTTGTTCCAAAATGGAAAATCCAAGCAATAAATAAACAACCACCTATTCTTCAAAGAGTTTCCCTGCTTCTCACTAATTAGGCCCACAAAGTTTTGGCAACCTGTAACTCCAAAGTTTATCTTACTTCAGAATCTGTATTACTCCAGTCTCTAGGCTAACAGTTGGGCTTTCTGAACTGTATTCCTTTGACTCTGGTGGGATTGGTGACTTACCATCACAGAAGAATTTATGTTTGATAACTTCACACCTAAATGCAAAATTATTTATCAAGGTAAATTTACTTATTGGTGTTCCACATTTTGCCTTCACAGTCCAGCACTTTCCTCACTGTGCCTTACTCAAGTGTTGTAAGACATCTGAAAGCTGTCAAGACTTTAATTTTTGAATATTCATTTCCTATTGCATAATGATCTTCTCTCCCAACCTCCTTTTTGGACTGCTGATATACTCTAAGTATGGGTAGAATTTGACCTTATTTACCAGGGAAGGCTAGACAGCAAGAACAAAGAAATACCTCTCTGAAATCATGTTCAAAGTGTCGAAGCTGCAGGCACTGTTCTAGTTTCAGATGATGCTTGGTCCAAAATTGATCAAAAGCCTTTTCTGTTTCATCCAACTGAGCCAACAACCTGTTAAGAAATTAAAATGAATAGAATGTACTTATTTCCTATATATAATTTCTTTTAAGTTACAGTAAGTGATGGCAGAAAGCAGAGCAGGGAAATGGTGGGGAGCCCTAAACTTATCTAAGAGGGCTCTGTGTCAACTCTCTCATAAGCAAAAGAGAATGAAATTTGCAGTAGGACAGGCAGGAATGTGACAGACGAGTGACAACTACATGGATCTACTGTGGCAGGTACAGTCCTGCCTCCTGATGAGCAACAGGGACTCAGAGTTGTTCCATATGCTGGCAGCCAAGGGCAGCTGTCATTCCCTAGCTTCCACCCAATGCCTCAAAGACAATCCATCCCCAAATTATGCAGATTGAATATGAGGCAAATATTATTTCATGGAATGATTAAACCAGAACTCTACAACTTGTTAATTTTCTTCACACTTCAGAAATAGGCAAGGGCTAAATAATTTTTCCCAGTCCATTAAAAACAATAGATTAGGAGCTCATAATGACTCCCATGGACATTGTTTTACTTTGTGTAAATGATGAAACATTTATTTGCAAAGACATTAATCCCAAGGTGTCATATCTTCAGTGAGTCATCCTCACAGTTTCTCAATGGTCCATTAATTACGAAGTAGAACAGTTTTAAACAAGTAGAAAAAATGAAAAGGAAGTGTTCTCTGAATATCTTGTATTTCAATAGATGGGCATTCTTTGGGGAGATAAGGGATCAGTGCATGCTGAAATCAAGTTTCATGCATGAAATCATCAAGTTATTGGGGTAAATGCCAATAGCTCCCTCTTATTTGTCTCAAAAGTAAGTTTCTGTTTTCAGTCTGTCCCTCAAAAACTTTTTTTTAATCAAAGCTAGTTGTTGAATTCAAGATGAATTCACAAATTCCTTTGGGATGACTGTTCAAAGGATTTTAAAGTATTCAGTGAAAAATATCAGCTCAGCTTTACTTTTAGCACCTTTGTTCCCAGTTAATGCAGACACACTGAAACCCTAGCACGGCATTTCTCTTTGCTCTGCATCACATGGCACAGCAGAAAGTTCTACATGGTGACTAAAAGCTTTATGGTAATAACTAGCATTGTAGGAAGGAAAGGGGGGTTCTCTCACTGGGTATCTCTGGATCTGTGACACACAGAATGTTTCAGGTATCATCTTCATCTGCTCTTCCCCCAGTGTTTCCACAGACACTCACAAGCACATCACCCACTCATCTCACAGAGACTCAGGTACTACTTTCTAGCCAGGTACAGAAGTTTGGAGGACATACATGTTATGGAGAAATAGGTCCCACCTGAAATCTTCAGCCAGGTAGTTTGTGATCTGACCAAAAATTACCAAGAAATTCAGGACTTGTTTGAACTTGCCTTGGCAGTCTAATCAAGTCATTTCCTCTAAGCTATTTCCTTCTTGGACTTACCTGTCCATAAATCCTGAGTATGTGAACCAGTGGTAATTTATAACCTGCATATTTAAATTATTTAAATTACATCTGCATCTCCTAGGAATAAATCAGCAAGTTGCACGAGGTAATTGAGCTCCACTGACCTTTCCACGGTGGCCACATTTTCCAGTTCATCTGGACTGAGCTTGCTGTTGGCACTTCGGGTGACTGGCTCCCGGATGCACGTCAGTAAGGTGGCCCCCTGCTTCACTGCCAGCTTCAGCTCATCCTGAGGGGAAAAAACAAGCCAAAAACCAAATTGTATGTACTTTAACAACACCCACATCTCCTAGATGACAACAGAGTAATGATAAAGGAGGATCCTTTCATAGGTACAAAATACTTGAAACAAAATATAAATGCTTACCAAAGGTGGTATGTTTTTCTAGCAAATGCAGAGACCTAAATCTTTTAACTTTGAAGAGTAAATCTATTTCTGAGTAAAGGAATAGAGTTTCTGAGCAGTATGCAATTTCTGAGCAGATTGCATATCTGACCAGGCCACTTGCAGAATAAATTATTCTACCACAAACTGAATGTATGCTGTAGATTGTGAGCTGAGAGACTGGGCTGAGACATTGCACTTCTTAATGGAATTTCCTCAAACAACATTGTGCCATGCTGAGCCGTAGTACACCAGCTATTAGAAGTCATCCACAGAAGTGTCTTCCCAGCATGAAAGATGAGCAATAAAAAAGAAAAAGAGGCTCAAACGTTAACTTGTCAGATGACGAATCCCCACATCACTGCACAGTTCTTCCATAAAAATTGTTCTTGTGCTAATATAGCTTAAGTAGTATTTTTAATCTTGTGTTTAACCTAAGGCATTTGCTGAAAGCAGTAATATTTACTTCTGATCCTTATTCTGCAAAGCCAAACTAGCCCAAATTTATTTTTTAAACAAAACAACAGTCACTAGTTAGATCATTCTATTCCTGACTATCCTCACAGATGTTCTTTTTCTGCTCCAATATAAATCCATCCTTTCTGATAAACTCTTCGTCAAGGGCCTATGCTATTCCAGATCTGACCCCTTTACTCTCTCTCACACAGTGGAAGTGACACATCCCCATTCTATCATTCCTGAAGCTGTAAAATGTCCTTTTTCCACAGCTGAATCAAATTGACCTCCTGAACCCAGGTGTCTGTCCTCCTCCTCAGTGGTTTCCAGACAATGGATTGCCAAGTGATGGCAGAAAATTTTGTTAGGTCAGAGCTCATCTATTACACTGTTGGAGCCATCGTGGGGCAGCAATCACCTTCAGCTTGCTGTGGTGCTCGGTGTGTGAGGAGAGAAGCTCCTCTGTGCACTGCACGTCGTTGGGAAGTTCAGTCTCTGCTAAGTCTGTTCCAAAGCTCTGTAGCATCTGTGCTGTTGTTTTTACTGTCATTGCAAAGTTTTCAATAGCCTGGAAAAGCAAAAGCATAAAGTCACAGATTGGTTATTTACCCTTAGCCCTTTAACAACCCTTCATGCTTCAGGCACACTGTGCTGCAAGTATTACATGCCTGTAAAGCTGGTCACATTGCCTATTTTTGGGTGGATGTGCTTAAAGTTACAAATCAACCACAAATGACCTTTTCTCAGGTCTGCACATATTGTCACCTCCATGAGCCAACGGGGATCTCCCAGAGCTCAGCAGACATAATGAAACCACAGGAGGACATCAGCTTCAAAGGCAGGCCTGGAACTTCAGATCCTCTGCCCATGCTTGCTGGGAAATTCTGTTGCATTAAAAATTTTAATGAAGGCTTTATTTAAGTTGAGAACACTACTAAAATATATAGGGCAAAGCCTTTATATTTATACAGCCATTGTTCACTCAGCAGTAATCTGTCTTCCCCTGACTTCTGAATATGTGCATCTCCATCTTGCCTATCTGTATGAGATGCATTCCAGTCCCTCCCTCCCATCTGTCCATGCTAGTACACAAATACAGGAACAAGTAACTACAAATACAGTTAAAATGCATAAATTCATGGGATCATTGCTGTTTCTTTATCACTTGGGTGCACCAACACAAAACTTGCCAGAAATCTGGTTTTAATGAAGAATGGGGAAGTGAGGAAGGCTAAAAAATCAATGCCACCTTCGTAGAGCAGAATATAATGTTCAGACCTGTGACACTTTATATCTAGTAGCAAGTAACTGCACGGGATGTTTTTCCATGATCCTGCCCAAATTTGGGGGTGGCTGTGTTGTTGTGTATAGCTCTTTATTCTTTGTACATTTTGATCTAATCCCCCACAGGTCTGAGTCAGTCAACAAGCACTAAGGATGCTCTTACACCCAATCAAACACCATGTTGCTGTTGCACACTGCATTCCTTTCTCCAGCAATGATGGGAATTCATTGTTTGCAACTGTGACAGATGAAATTATGCTGTGTGCTCAGTGAAAAACAAACTGGAGGTAGATCATCATTCAAAAGGTGTAGAGAGAAATTAGCCCATATTTGTGATCTCAAACATGCCCCCATGAAGGAATGCTAGCAGAGTTCACAGCCTTCTTTCCTTTTCCCCCATAAATTCATGTCTGCTTTCAGCACAAGCAGTACAGACCCACACATGCTCTTAGTGTATGCTGCTGTTCTCAGCACTGGAACTACTGGATTAGAGTTGGCTGAAATGTCACACTTCTGACTGCAACACAGACATGGCCATCCATGACCAAAGGCCGTTTACTGAAAGCCAAAAATGCACTCTGGGGGCAAGAAAGTCCACAGGCTCCTGGCAGCCAAGAGAAGAGAGCAGAAACAGTGAATGATGCAAGGAGGTTGCTGTGTCACTGCCATTTAGCCAGGTTTTAAAGCTTTTTCAGAAGAAAAGCACTGGCAGGACAAGACATGAGAACACTGAGAGAAGCAGCAAAGGCCATGAAGACCATAGCTCAGCAAGGCTGGAAGTCAATTGTTTCAAGGTGCCATGGAAGCTGACACTTCCCTGGTGACAGCCTCTTATCCAGCAGATATTCCTTGGCTGACTGCACCATGAACTTGTCAGTGTTTCACTTAATAGCCTGCTTGCCCCCACTCTCTCCTGTGCATATGAGCAATAAAATGTTCCATGTACCTAAGTTACATCTGTGGATTGGTTTCTTTCCAGTCTCTGTGCTTGGTAAATTTTTTTCTAACAAATTTAACCAAAACCTCTGGGGATTACATAGCCCTACTCCTACAAATTCTTGGCTCATTTTGTTTGCATATTTTACCTAAATATATATTATTGCTTTATGTAGACCCCTGTCATTAATAAATATTACAACTTTTCTTGTGCCTCTTTTCATCCCCTTCATATTTTCAGACCTTTTGCTGTTTGAAAGCTCTTACAGATGATTCATTTCTTCACACTTCCCCTTCCTGCAAGGATGGTTTCATATTTTTGATACTTTTGACACATAAGCCTGTTCACTCATCTCAACTCCAACCTCATTATAGACAACACAGTTATAAATGTAGAAAATCAATGCTAGACAAAATTCAGATTCTATGTTTGCATATTTAGAAGCCTGAAATATTTGGTGGTTCTCAAGGAGACTAAAATTTAATAAGGACAGCAAAGCACAAAAAAAACTATAGCAAGAAAATGACAAAAGTGGTTTGACTTAAATTACCTCAGAAAAGCTCTTTTTATGGGTTAGGTGTAACTAGCTCATCAGCAACAACAGACTCAAACCCAGAGCTGCTCAGATCTTTGCAAAACATGGAGGCTTACATTGGGTGTGGGCTTTAATCTATCAGTCTTGCAAGTAGGCCCACAAAGACAGACACAAACATTGTATAAACTCTCTGTGAAATTAATTACTTTTCCAGGATCATGACCCAGCTTGGCACATTTTTGCTTAGGAAGAATGAAACAATATTTTGTCTGCTAATGTGCCGGAGTTTGGAGTCTGTTTTTTGTGAACTGTCATCTTAACTGGGCACCATAATGAATTGTTTACATTGTTTTGAAGCAGACACTGAAATGCATTAACCAGCCCAAAAAGGAAGCCATCAAACCTGTACAAGTTTCCTCAATAGAATAAAAGTCTTTCTGCCTTCCTACTAGCAACTGTTCTTCAGTTACCCAAAATAAGACCCAGCATGCTTGTATAGTATAGAAATGAAAAAAAAATACAGTGCCCTGAGTATTTTTATTCTCTTAAAAGCATGAACATAATTAATCATTAAAGTGAGATTTTTGACCTTACTTTTGACCTTTGTAAAGTCAGCAAAGTACGACAGCCTATTTTCAATTTCAGCTGAAGGCCTATGAATCCCATCAATTATTGAAAAGGCAAGAGAAGGCCTTGCTGAGTAAGAATACCACGACACTCTTAGGCCCTGGGCCAGGTACACAGTGAGATACAATTACTGCTTCCATTACAAACTTTTGGGGAATTTGCCTTTCTCTGTTTGAGTCATGGATTTCCTCTTTCCCCGAGTCCCTAGCAGAATCCAGAGGCTGCAATGCAACTGAAAAGCTCCTGCTGAGCGGCTGCTCTGCATTTGTGCCTGGGCAGCTGAGGTGTGATGTGCAGAGCAGCACTCACCGTGCGGTGATGGATCCACTGGCTGTGCCCGTACTCCAGGGTCCCTCCCAGCTCCCGCGTCAGCTGGCTCTTGTCAATGTAGCCATGCAGATCAGAGACAGAATTTAACATGATGATCTGAAAGGAATCCAAACACACTGGACTGAGAGAAATAACAAGCCTTCCAATCAGTGTTCCTAGGATCTGGGTTTGCCTGAACATAGATGACCACTGAGTTCCACCAGAGGCTATCAGTTCTCATTTTGCATTTTCTCATGCCATGGCCACAGTTTATGTTCCCTACATTTTGCCTTCTCAATGTGTACATGGACATTTTTGAACTAACCTTGGTTTGACATCATCTTCCTCCTTGCTGGGCTGACTCATTTTGCATGTGCATCAAGACCAAAAGTATGGTACTCATAATGTTCACACAAACTTCCATAACATAATTTATTCTCTAGATAACATTTATTTACAGAGAAATGGAGGCACAGGCAAGTTAAACATCTTCTTCAACACAAACCACTTGATCCAGGGAAGTGCTGAAATGAAACCATTGAGAATAAGATTTTTCTTTCCGTTTTCTGATTTTTTTGGCACTGTATGTTCACTGAATTCACTGGCATTTTTCCATTTAAAATCATAATGGAAGAGAAAGGAGAAAATACACCTAGATCAATTATTTTACTTTAGAATCTCCTTACCACTAGACTTGCTTGAAGAAAGCCAAACAAGATTTGAGTTCATCTTCAGATAAGCAGCATTAACTTTTGGCAACCACTGTAAATTTGTCAACACAAGTGGTTACACAAGAAACACTCATTTATTGTTGTTCCAACAGCTAGAAGATTTGCCAGGATTTCAGCAACAGAAGAATAAAAATTTGAGCACAAATGATTAAGAATTTTAAATAAATAAATGTCAAAAACATGTCAAATGTGTTACTTGATCCTATTTAAAGAAAGCTTAAGTGGCTCTGCATGTCAGCAGGCTCCAATGGAGCATGGTAAATACACTGACAAACACTGTGGACAGTGAGATGAGTGCAGATGTATGGAGACAAGAGGATGCATATTCTAGGCGAACAGTGCTCTAAGAAAAGCCTCAAGAACAAAAACCCAAACAAGTTTTTAGCTGATCTTTGTTACAGAATCTTTCTAAAATAATTCAGGTTGGCGGGAACCTCAGCTCTCTAGTCCAACATTTTTCTCAAAGCTATGTCAGATGTGAGATCAAACCAGGTTGCTCAGGATGCTCTTTATCCACCAAAGACTTAAAAACATCCAGTGATTGAGATTGTACAACCTCTTTGGGCAGTCTGGTCTTCTGCCTGATTGTGGTAAGAAAGTTTTTCCTTATGTCAAGTCAGAGCTGCCTTTGTTTCACTTGATGTCAGTTATTTCTTATCCTACCACCACACACAAGCTGGCTGCAGTGCCCAGTAACCTGGAGGGACTGGAAAGCTGCTGTTATGTCATATTAACCCTCCTAAGCCTTCCCTTCTCCATGTTAGACAAGCACAGTTCCCTCAGCATCTTCTTACAGAGCACATGCCCCAAGTCCTGACCTTCTTGGCTTTCCAAGATTACTCCAGGTTAATATTTTTCTTGTACTGGGGGAACCAAAACTCAGGGTGTTCTCAATGTGAATTAATTAGAGCCAAGTAAAGGGGGATGAGTGGTTGTCTCAACCTGTTGGCTATGCTCCTGTTCATACTGCTCCTGTTAATGCAGGATGCTGATGGCTTCCTTTGCTGCCAGGCACACTCTGGCTCAGGTACAGTTTGCTGTCCACCAAGTTCCCAGCTCCCTTTCTGCAGAGATGCTCCCCAGATAGGCTACACTGTGAATCATTGTCAACAACAAAACTGTTGTGTTGTTGGAAGGGAAGGACATAAGTTATTTCTTGAGTAAGAAAATCCTTGTGGAAGGAAACTCTTTCCCAGTTGCAGGACTTTGCTTTGCTCCTTTGGTATCTAAAAAATAATAAGCTGGTCAGCCCATTCCTTGAGTCTTGGAGTTTACCATCTACTCCTCCTGATTTAGTGTCATCTGCACACTTGATGACAGTGCAACCTCTTGCCTCTTCCATGTCACTGATGAAGACATCGAACAGGGCAGGTCCCAGCAGGTATCACTACAACTCTCCCCTTCTTGCCCACTTTCAGGCAGAGTATGCCCCATCACCATTACCCTCCTAACCCATCATGAAACTGGTTTTTAAAAGCACATGTAGCTGTCCATCCATCCAGACTTTAACCTGACTTGGATACAAGAATATAGTGGAGGATGCATCTGGCCCCAGGGACCCATACAGGCTGAAAATTCTCAAGTAGGCCCTCACTCTGTTCTTTTTCACTTCCAGCAGTCCATCTTCTCCTTAACCTCAGTCTTTAAACACAGAAACAAGGAGATCTTGTTGGTGAAGAAACTGTGGCAAAGAAAGGTATCTCAGCCAAAGTTAAAGGAAAAACTGTTCCCTGAATGTGTTATGAAACACTGTTCTGTTATGATCAAAGCCAGAAAGTTCAAAAAGCTGCATCATCTTGAAAAGGCCTCATACTGGAACATAAAGTCTATGCACTAATTCTGAATTGGAAATCACATTTGAAAAAGTAAATCTTAACTGCTTTGTAGCTCTTCCCCATCAGAGATGTTGCTGGCAAGCTAGAACTCTTCTGATACTTCAAACCTCACTGAAAGCACAGAGGTACACTGTCATGCAGTTTCCTTTTAGGAAGAATTTTGTGTTTGTTTTAACTTGGTATGCTCAGCATGAGCCACTAAACAAACCTATTAATATTGCCAGCTATGGTGCTACCCAACAGGGTGTGGGTCTTCACCATGCAGGCATTCCTGCAGGAGAAAGCCTATGAGCAATCCAGCATCCATCTAAAAACCCACTCTGAGAGAGCATTAGCATCTCCCATGCTGCTTGCCAGACAGGAGACAGCCACAGTCTGTCAGCTGGGGAGTGCAAGGAGCAGCAGTTTAGAAGAGAGGGGTCAGTGTGGAACATGGAGCTGTGGGGAGGCTGCCTCTGGATGGGTTAGGCTGTCAGAAAGAAGTCACAGACTAAAAAGCTCAAGGAAGCACTTGCTATGGACAGATTGTTCAGACTTTTATGTATGTTCTGAAGATGCTTTAATTCTCTTCCTATGATGGGAGGTTCCTTGGGTACATCTCTGGGTCTTCCTTTTGAATTCACAGATTTTAATCTCAGATGAACACTGCTGTGTCTCCTATATTTCTATATCTTAATCCTGGCTAATGATATCTAATCAAATCACTATCCCAATAAAAATTTACCTGATGAGGTTTTATTACCCACATTTGTATGTCAATGTGATATAAATCCTGCATTTCCTTTTTGAGTCTGGTTGTTTATTGCAGCCTTTATTTCCAGCTCCTCTTTGATCTTCTGGTTTCTACTCATTCCAGTATTGATTTAACCCAGCAAATCTATTTTACTGAGCATATTTGCAGTCTGATAGCTCAAATAAATTATTAAACAAATATTTCCTTAACAAACACACACAATATTCTTGGAGCTCCTTTTGAATGCTCATGTCTTGGTCCTGACTCACAGTTGTGATAGAAAATGCCACCTATCCACGGACCAGTTACAGCATGAATGTTGTCATAGAGCCAAACACACAACACAAACAAACAACATGCAAACAATTTAAAAAATTATGATGATATTGAAGGTAGGTACTGATCCCTAAATCCTTGAGTAAGCACATCTCCAATGGAACAAGAACTCTGTGGTCCTGTTCTCCTGCTTGGCATTTAGGATGCTGTTTTCAAGGAGGACAAACAGACATTGTTCTCAGTAACTTCCCTGCTCTGAAACTGGGGTATGCAGGGCATGCCCAGATGGTATTTTTAGGATGAGCAACACAGGAGAAAAGCCCCTCCAGAGAGCATGGCAGATCCCAGGAACTTAGAACATCTGTAGTACCACCCCAAGTAACTTAGAATAGCATCAGACATATGTGGGCAGCCTGTCTATAAATCTGACAGGCTGCCTGCAGATATCTGGGCAGGAGGCTGCAGGTGTGTCATGCTCTTAGTCTTTGTAAGGCTGCTGTCTAAGAGCTCTGTGGACGTACCCAGGATGGCTCAAAATATCCAAGACAACCCCAAACTAAACTGATATCTTGATTTTCCTGCCTATAGAAAGATAAGTTAGCATTTCATATTTAATGCAGACCCCTGCCTAGAACTAACCTCCCTTCCAACTTTGATCCCTTCCAAGTTTTGAAATGCAACTCTGATGTCAAATAAATTGCTAAAAGTATAGGAAATGCTGAATTGCTGGAAAATGCCAGTCTTTATGAAGTTGTCCCTTTCTGGGCTGCACCCACTGGTAGAAATGTTGCTATAGCAACAGATTGTGGCATATTAAATATAGGTACATCCATTTTTTAAACTACTATAAAATATTTTGGTTTGCATTCAAATGTAATTTTTTTCACCAAATTTGCATTTTACCAAAAAGCCCCCCTTACCAAAAGACAGTAAATGTTACCATTTAACCACAGTAACCAAATGTGTTCCTTTCCTGTATGCACTGTAATAAATAGATGCTGTCTCTCACTTCAGGAGAAGCAGAAAGTGTTTTTAACACCTGAACCTCCAACTTGAGTTTCAACAGAGCTAGAATTTGTTGGAGAAGACCCATAAGTATTTTTTAAAACAACATAAACCCAAAAGCAAAATCCAAAGCAGTCATCTGAAATCCCTCCATTAAAGTCACTGTGGAACACAGTATGAGTCTGATCCAGGATGAAATATCATCAATAATCATAATTCAAGTTTATGTATAAAACTTTAAAAATTTTGACACCACATGCAAACATGCTGCTAAAAACAACTCCTAAAAGACCCCTCATAAAATAATCTCCAACTCTTTCAGGATTGATAACCTTCTTCATATCACAGTCTCATCAGCCTACACATATGCCAAGTGCATATAAAAATAACTAAAACACAAACTCTGAATCTTGAGGGCATGGGAATCATAAAAGACATTCAGAATAAGCAATGTTAGAGGGACAGTCAGCACTGTCATGGATAACTCATCAAACAGTGCAGAATTCAGCCTTAGGCTTCCACTGCTCTGTAGTCCTGAATACTTATGTTTGTTGCTGGAGTGGGATCTGCCTCTGCTTACATGAAGGGAACATCTCCACTGAGTTAAAATGCCAAAAACTGAGCCACATTTTCTAACTAGACTAGACATGGGAACGTGTCCATTAAACACTACGAACCATCCACTGCTAAATAACTCTTTGGCATCACCACACAGACCCAGATGAAAGGCCCCAGGTGCCACTTGCAATCATGGGTTATGGGAAATTGCTGAGAGCCCAGAACTGCAGAAATGGAGAAAAGAAAATGCATGGACAAAAAACTGCATGCTTACCGGTACCTTCATTTTAAAGTCATCTCGATAAAGTTTAATGCCAATGTCAGCGATTGCCCTTTGGATAAAGCGGGAGGGTCTCAGGACAAACACCAGCTGCAGGTTCCCTGGAAATGCTCCCTGCAAGAAATATAGAATTCTTAGAAGGCACATTTCTACCTTACAAGGGAATTTTCAGCCAAGTGTTTCCTCACCAGCAGGGCAAAGCAGGTAGGGCTTACTGAACCTTGCTCAGTCCAGATGCTCATTGCCTCAGCTGGTCCATTCAGCATGTGCTCATTGTCACTGTTTCCAAACCCACCAGGAAGACTGACCCATGTATTTTACTGCCCAACAGGAAGACTGACCCATGTATTTTACTGCCCACCCACATGTTGTTTCATGATACAGATTTATCATTCCTGACTATTGCCTTTCTCCCCCAGACTCAAATCCCACCAAATCCCACTTGCACCACCGCACCAGTTTTCCCATTTTTTAGGCTGCAGCCACTAGAGGGCAAAGCTGGCTGCCCACACTGGACTGGTGAGGGAAGCTGGTAGCACAGAGGGGTTCCCCAAGTTGACCTACTTATTCACTCTGCAAAGGGTTTTGAATCTTTTTAACCTCACATATTTTTACACACAGGCAGACACTCAACATGTTCATCAGATATGGCCCTGCCTGCAACACCCAGCCTACATCTCTCACACTCCTCTGAGCTCATCAGGCATAAAAAAAGAACAATTTCTTGAAGAGAGCAGCAAAAACCCTGAGAATGAAAAACATTTCTGTCTAAATACCTTGAAAGAACTTAAAGTCGCCTTTGTCATCCCACCATCCTACACCTCTGTGTGTAAGTGCTTGGTCCTCTCACAGTAAATGCTCCTAGTAAGAGATGTATAAAACCAGCTGCTTGTTTTAGCACTGGAAATCAGTGCCCAGCTCTGACTTTTGCAAATAAGCTATTAAGAATTTCTGACAGAGATCATTTACTACTGTGCAAACACAAATCCCTTGGGATCTATTTCTTTCATAAGCAGGCCACGTCATCCCTCCTCAGGGCACAGAAGGGGTACCTCTTAATACTCCTCTAGGAACCAACTTCAAATTATTAGAATTTATATTGCAGTCAACCCAGAAAATAAGGAATTTGTCCTAATTCAGCAGTAAACAAGACTGTGTAATTTGTCTCTGCAGCTTCCTCCCTCTCTTATTTAACACTTAGGAGCTGCAGAACCAGGGAGAATCTGCATCTACAGCCAGAAAATGGGAGCTTAAAATGAGCAGAGGAGGCTGTATCGTGTGCTGAAGGTCCAGCAGACAATTTTAATTTCTAGAAGATAAATAACAAAAGCAAGCACTTACTGCTATTCGTGTCAGGGATGCCTTGACTGCACTCCATTTGTCCCGTCGTCTGTCTATGATGATGATGAATCCGATGCTGGCAGCCTCCAGACTGCAAAACAGATGAAATAGGTGTGCTGGGTTACAGGGAGACACTCCTGTTCCAAGGCAGAGAACTGCAGCAAAACACAGCCTCCGTCACAGCACGCTCGGAGCCCATTATGAAAACACAACGTACAGTGGAAAGAATGAATATTTGGCAGAAACGCACATGAAAAGGAAAGCCAGCAAAATTTCTCTTTCCAGCATAAGGCTAGCAGCTTACACAAAACATGAATATTTTATCTGCTGAATCTCTCAGCTGCTGTGCTACTCTGCTGCCAGCCTAGGTGACATGAATAGTTCAGGATCACAAATTACACTGTGCTATTTTGAAGGCAAAACCCCCAGATCTTTTTTTTTTCCCTGCAAAATTAGACACCCCCTACAGTCTTCATTCTCCAAGTATGCCGACACCTGACAGGGGCACTGAGCTCCAGGGCATCAGTATCCCCTGACTTGTGTACACAGAGCCCCAGGAATTCTGGTAGGCAAAGCAGAAAATGAAGAGTTCTATTTTGCCAATCACAAACTTATTCTGGGGTTGCAAGTCATTCCAAACTATCCTTTTCAACATATTGGCTAGAATAACAGTTCCTGTTCCTCCTTGGTGCTTTTCAAGGAGGATCTAGGAGGCAGTGATTTGGTGCTCCATTCCACCTTTGTAGACCTCATACATACACCATCCTCTCTTTCCCTCTCAAAAATTCCACTCTGGAGTGCCAGGTTTCAGTGGGACTGCTCTTCTCTCTGCCTTCCAAGAGCACTCAGCATTGGAGAAGCTAAGAAGTACACAGTGAGTGTCCAGAACCTTCACTAAAGCAGGATGGCTCAGTCATCTCAGAACAAACCAGAGGCAGGCAGCAAGAGTATAAATGTCATAATCAGAGGACATAGTGCAATCAAACATCTTATCACAGGTTAAGGGGAAAAAATGGTTTAAAGTATCTCCTTGATCCCTATTCCACTGTCCATACAAGAACCAACTCAGGAACTGTTTCCATGGGTAATTTTATCCAAACTCATGTCAATAATCTACTGAAGACTATCAACACAGCAACAATTCTGAGCTCTTGTAGCAGATCTGCAGGATCAAAAACTGAAAGCCAAAGTATTGTGCAAAACTGGGATGCCATGTAAATGCTCCTAGTAGTTCATACTGATAACAGGAAAACTCACTGAATTTTCCAATGCAGTATTTTTACAGCAATCCTTCCTCTGAGGATTTAAAAATTCAATGACAATACATGACCTTTCCTCTTTAGTAGTGCAACATGCAGCTCTCTGCAGAGAACAGAAAATATGTTTGCAGCAAAGCCTCTCAAGCACAGGGAAGACAATTTATCTGGTTTACCTTTTATAAATACACAAATGTTACATACTCTTCAGTAGTCTTAGATATACACATAGACATATCCTTCAGTAGCTGAACAAATATTCCACAGAATGAAATTCCTTGATAATGTTCAAATAAAGGCAACAAAGATATTGTGTGTGTTGCAGACGGTTACAGAAAGGGTGAGAGAAACTAAACACAAAAGTGTCAACCTGGGCCCTTCATCTTCAAATGATGTTCAGCACAGCATCAGTTGTAGTCACTGAGATAAGCCAATGGTACTTGTATGTTTGCTTTTTGATGTGGAGGGGTTTTTTGTTGTTTTGCTTGTTTGTGGGATTGTTTGTTTGCTGTTGTTATTGTTGGGGGGTTTTGGGGATTTTTTTCTTTTTAGCTAGATAGGACTAACGAAGTCCTAAATTTAACCAGGGAAACAGAGAGAGAGTCAGCAAGGGATCCTATTTCACCAGCATGCTGAAAGGCCATGCCAAGGTCTGAATGTCATTTGGCACCAAGGGATGGATGCAGGCACACAGCCACAGGAAGAGGCTTGGCTGAGATGGCAGCATCAGCACAAGTGGACGTATAGCTGAGAACCCCCACTCCAGTGTGCATCCAGAAAAAGCTTGTTTAGGAACAAACACACAGACACATTCTAACAATTTTCTCAGTGTCAGTACTGTAATATCTCTACCCTCATTATGAAAATGCATTGGGGTTTCTCTAGTTCTCTGAAGAGGAGGGTTTGAAGACAATCCTGAAGAGCAGATAAACATCAGGCTTGCCTCCAAAATAAATTCTGTCACATTTGCCCAATCTACAGATGTCTGGCAGAAAGGTTCACTTTCCCTGAATGAAATATCTGCAATCAGCAGGACTCTTCCATCCTCAGCTCTATATTCAGGTTTGCCCTTGAACACTGACTTGAGACGTTGAATTTCCTGACCTCTTTTGGAAGGAGAAAAGGACATCTGTTTATCAAAGTACTTAATCCATGTCAAGCTAAAGAGAAAGGAATTCTGGCCATGGAATAAAGCAAGTAAAAAAGGGATTTCTGGAGATATCTAGTGCATGCACAGAGGTATGCATGTACATACACCATGTTACTGAGTGTCTGTGGATGTGTTTGTATGCAGACTCCTTTGGTGGAGCAGTTGAACCACAGGGAAAATGAATCAGGTGACAAAAGTCTCACTGGGCTGATCTTCAACCCTATCATATGTTTTGTCAGATGAGCATATAAGATTAATTATTCCAGAGGGACTTAGAAAGTTACTAACACTAAGTGATGTTATCTGCAATCACAGAGCTTATCTTCACAACTAGCATGAACATTATTCTACAGGATATGCAAAATCAGACACTATAAAAGACAGATATTATCTCTACATTTGCCTGGAAAATTATGCTGATTTTTCTGGTTCACTAAGCTCTGAAGAAGGAAGTATTTTCTATGATAAATAGGATAAAGTGCTTTTCAAACTATACCTCTTCTTACCTGATTCATGGCCAGAACTTTGTAACTGCAGAAGAGTTAGAGACTGTTGTCTATTCTTAGTCACTTTGTTGGATACCTTCACATATTTCTTGAGAATTAAAGTGAAAGGTGGACAAGTAGCAGTGAAATCACACACAGGAATACTCAGGCTATTACACAGGAATACTGTTATATTACACACAGCCCTATCTAGTACAGCAGTGCTGGCAAAAGCAACAATGCACACCCTTTACTGCTTGCTGAGGGACATGGCAGAGACACTGTGTGCATGGACCAGCCAACTGCAGATTGACAGGGCTCTGCTGCACCCAAACAGATCCACAGCTTGGGCCTCATTGAGTTTGAGCTCTACATAATTATGTCATAAATCACACAAAGCTTGCTGCTCAGGTTCTTCTTCTAAATTAACATCTTTCTCCCTCACCATTTACAGAGATAGTGGCAAGTTTCAAGTGGTGATTCAAAAAATGCAGGCAATCTTTCTAAAAGCACTGCAATAAAGTGCAATAAAATTCCTGGAAAATTCACGTCACTTCAGTGTGACCTGTGATGAATCTAAGAGCCAAACCAAGGTGCTGGTATGCAGAAAATGCACCTTGAAACCCCAGCTTGACCTTGAACAGGTCATTTAGAGCAAACTGAGCAGTCACTTACTCAACATAAGTTCTGGTGATCCTGTCTGTGGAGTGAGATATTACTCACACGTATCTCAACATCTGTAAAATAGGTATATCACAGCTCTCCTGACTTACAAAGTTTTGAAACTCAGTTCTTCATTCTTTGCACATGGCTCTGGGATTCCTCAGGGGAAGAGAAGATAGAAGAGAACTGAAACTGTGTCAAAGCAAAGGTCCATCTAGTCCAACACTCTGACTCCAGTATTGGTAGATAGTGGCTGCTGAGACAAAGGCAGCAGGAAAATGAGAAGGACAGTATTTCTCTTTATATATATTCTCCCAAGTCCCAGCATTAAGGAATAAATTAATTTCTTCAGCCTGGTTTGTATTTGAGCCATTGTGTCCAGCTGCCATTGATGGAGCAATCCTTCATGAATTTGGCTAATTTCTTTTGAATGCATCTGTGCTTTTGGGCACCACACAGGCTGCAGAAGCTCAAAGGGTTTCTGTCTGTCATGTTGACAATGTAACATACTGGTTCCCCACATGTGACAAAATCACTGGGAATCATCTCCCTGCATACCAAGTACAAAGAACTGAAAAACTACTTTTATGGTTTTCTCAGCCACTGCTGCTGTTGTACATACCCTGAGGCTGGTCACCCTCCCAGTCCTGAAGGGGTAAGGAAATACTCAAAACAGAGTTTCCCCTGGCTGAACAAAAGTCCCACAGAGCAGAGTGAAACAATGAAGCTGTTAAGTTCACAGTATGTGGTTTTTCTCAGCTTGCTTTGGCAACCCTTTGGCCATGACTTTGGCAAATACACGTAGGTGGAGCTGTAAAACTTCTCACTCAGACTTGAAGGAGGCACGTTTTCTGCTATGATCCTCTGAGCACCTTTATGCAGAAGACCACAGGAAATGATAAATCGTTGCTGTGCTTCTCACTAGCACAAACAGCCATGGTCTAGAGACAGGATCAGGGGACTGAAAAAAATTTTAAGCTCTCTTAGATGAACAAAAAATAATTCTTAGCACATTTCCTCAGAGGAGGGGAAGTCAGTTTGTTTCACTATCCTTATAAAGCTGCAGGCAAAAAGCAAGGAAAACATCCTGGCTGCAGAGCAACCTCCAAAGAAATGAAGTACCTGAAAGCACATGGTGCTTGCCAGAATCCTGTCAATGGGGCACCTCACTTGCTTTCTCAGCAAAGGGAAAGCTGCATAGAAAAGTGCACTCAGAGAAAAAGCAGTCATGGGGCTTGTGTAAGTATGGCTTCTTCCTGAAGCAGCCCTTCCCTCATTACATCCAGTGCCCCTGAGGCTTCTCACAAACAACCCCTCTTAGCTCCCTTTGATCTGCCACCTTTGCTGCTGCTCTTCAGATCTATTCCTGTTCCAATTCAGTTCAACCTGCCCTGTGTGAAGCTCTCTCTTCCACGACACAATTCCTAGGGCTTGCAGTAGATAGGGAAGTTTCATAATGACTGAAGAGATGCAGAGGCACTGGTATGTCCTGGTAGCACCACTAAAATCAGTGAGCCATTTTGGGGAAGCAAAACTCTCTAGGAAATCAACAGAAATTTGTGCTTAGTCTCACCTGGGAATGCTGGTTAGATAAGTGACCACGTTCAGAAAATCATCATCAGGTATCTCACTGAATCCTGCAAATTCTGGAAAGGTTATAATGGGTGCCCCATCCTTCCCTCTTCCTCCTGCAAAAAAAAAAAAAAAAAAGTCAAAGTTTAGAAGGTGATTTTATGACTTTGGACAGACTGGTCAGTACTCAAGTGGGAAGCACGGGCATATTTCTCCTTCTAAAGCACCCACATCCAGTAATCATAAGCAGCTCCAACCACACAGAAGTTATGAGGGGTTTTCTCACCAGCTTGGGCTCAAAGCTGAGAAGAGACTGAGGGGGCAGCAGCACATAAAGCAATATGATGAAACAAAGCTTTTGTTACAGGTACCTTATTGCTTAGTTCTCCTTAAACAGGGTATTAAGGATATTTTCCCTGAGTCTTTCTCCTTTTTCTGCAATTTTTATAAATCTACTTTTTGGACCAGGCTCATTGGCTCTAACAACCCAATACTGAGTGTATTTCTGCTGCAGACACAGTTTTCTGAGTCATTCTTCACACACAGAGGACTCTTACCCCAGGGACAGCCAGTTTCTGGGCTTCTCTTTAGAAAAGAGGAAGCTGTGAGGCTGTAAATTACCTTCCTCAGGAAAATGTCCAATAAATGATCCCATTAGGAGCATGGGAGCGGGGGGGGGGAAAGCCCATTCTCATTCCTTGAAAGCACCCTCTAAAACCCCATAAATAATCCCTGTTTCCAGGCTGCTCCCATCCACCATTGCCTTTCCTTGTTGATAACCACAGCTGATGCCACAAACCAGTTTCTCCTGCTCTGTTGGTGGTCATTTCAAGGAGGTGCTCCAGTAATTCCTGGCTATTTCTCTGTAGAGTGGACAGTCCCTTGCTAGTCCTGATCCTGCCTCTGCCCTATCCTCACAGCCTCAGTTGGATTATTTAAAATCCTTTCTGGCCAAGGAGAGCTGGAATGCTGTGGAATAAAATGTTTGCACAAGGTAAAACTCAGAGTGCTAGAAAATAGGAATTTTGAACAAGGAAACCCTTTTTCTTCTTGATATCTGGTGACATGGCATCAGCACAGTACCTTCAGCCCCTCTTTTCCTTTCTGAAGCTTGGTTATTGCTTTGATTACATCTGAAAATTACTCAGTTGTGTGAGAACATTCACCAAGCTCACCTTGCTAGGGAGAAAACAGGCCTACAGAGACTCAAAACTGTCTCAGCCAAGAGAGAAAGCAAGAAAGCCATTATTCACACTGCACTGAATTGGATTTCAAATGCTGAGCAGAGCCACAGCCTCCACATTAACCTCCCCACTGGCCTTGGGGTGATGCCAAATGCTGATGGACCTCCAGCTGCACTGTCTGCAGTCAGCACTGATGTAGAATATGCTGTCTTGCAAGTTTGGTCAGGCTTTTCCCAGACTGCTGCACTCTAGACCAGCAGGTACCCAGTTAGGCTGGTTTGTTACAGATTCTCAGTGACATCTCCTGGACACAAACAGTAACAGCCAGGAAAATTTAATACCAAATTTGTCTGCTCTTTGTGCAAAGCTCAGTGTGTGCCAAGGTATTTCATACTTGGTATCTTGTGAGCATTCACAGGATTTCTGGGCACCAAACTTTCTCATTCACATATTTCAAGTATGTGAATATACTTCAAATGAGGAAGATGCAGTAACTTGGAATATTTTGGTTTAAAACAGCAATATTTGCCACTGGAGGATAAGGTAGAGATTCCCCTGGATTCCCTACTTTTAACACTTGATAATTTATTTGCAGTTATACTCAAGATTTGTTCAAACTACACGTTTCTAAGGGTACTTCTAATGCTCCTGCTAATGAGGAGCTCTTTGTGCTCCTTTTATTTCAACTCCTGCATCTCCATTGACACATGTGCTCTTCTTCCCCTGGCCTCTTCCCTGAGCTGGATGAGGCAGGCTGATGATGCACTCTGTGTATGTGGGTGTGTATTTTTGTCATGGGATCTTCTCCTATAAAAAGCCATCTAAAAAATGAATGTAAGCAGACTGAACACTGACTTCCTTTCACCACTGGCAACAAATCTAGGACACTTAGGAGCAGCCTCAGACTGAACATTCAACTAGGAGTCAGCAGCTCCTGCCTCTGACTCAGCCACAGGCCCTTTACAGCTCCTGATCTCCATCTCATTCCCCAAGGTGAAGGCAACACTTCCTGCTGCAGCCAGAACCTTCAGATGGTTCAGCAGAGCTGTATTTCAGACAGGGAAATAAACAAGGAAACCTTCAGTTCCTGCCACACCAGGAAATTAGGGGGAAGTCTGAAGGAGTTTGGTATTCAGAAATTGTTAAGTGCTATGATGAGAAGAGAGCAGAAATGTGTAAAGTGTTGAGTGACAAGAAATACCACAAATATGTTACAAGTAGGTTTTTCCTGCCCATATCTGAACTTCAAGCAGTAGTTGAGTTACAAAGGAAAATTATCTACATCTATTTTGGATAAGGAATATAAGGGAAGCTCCTTGTATACCAAGGGTGTCTGGAAAACTCTTCAGTACAAGACAGCAATTCCATACATCTAAATGCTAATGCCACTTTTTCCCTGACACTAATCCAAGAATTGCTGCAGTATGCAAATTTCTGCAGAGTGTGGATTGACAAGATGCAGCCCTTTTTCCTCGACCATCAACCTTTCTTTCTAGGGAGTTACCACAAGATTTCTTCCAGTCCTTCCAGCTAGATACTATTCAGTGTCTTGAAAGGGCAGACAGCACAAACTAAAGGCCAACAGGGACAGTGTCCAGTCAGCACCATAGCCATAAGGACTGAGCACATGGAATTTGTCTTTAATGAAATTTAGAAGAGACAGCACACAAGCAGTATCAGGATTGTACAAGGTACCCCCGGTAATTGGACCTTCATAAACTCTCAGGTGTGTCAATCCCCTAAGTCCCAGGACACAGAGCAGCATTCATAGCTGCTCCGGTTGGGCAGACTTTCCAGCAGCCAATGCAGCCTGGATAGCTGCTGCAGTGAAGATGGGGCCAGAATTCAGCTGTGGAACAAAACAGCTGAAGTATTTGAGGAAGGAATATACGAGGGGGAAAGAAGGTTATGGCAGTTGAGAAAATTTAATTTTGCTTTGCAGTGTAAAGGGTGTGATTGACAAATGAGGTGTGAGTGCTGAATTCTGAGAGCTCTCACAGCTGAATCTGTATATTGGTATGAACTGATGTAAAACCAGAAAGCAACCACAACTGCAGGCCAAGGCCCTGAACACAATGAGGATCTTAGACAATCTCCCACTCCTCAGTTCCAGCCCTCCCATGCTTCCCACCCAGGCACAAAAAATATCCATGGCTGAGACAATAAGGGGCTACACTGAAGTCCTGTTCTATAGCCAGCAGCTCTTCTAACTAGAGATCACCAAATGTGCTGACTCCCTTGGGAAATAAAACCAAAACAAATGAAAAGCATCAGCCCAACAAAGGGGCTATAGTCAGGAGAAGTTCCAAAAGTTAGTCTGCAAGTTTCCAGAGCTCACCTCCCCAGGCTGCCACAGGCACTAACTCATCAGTTAGTATTGGAAAGTGTTCTCTCAATGCTGCCGATGTGTGCAGCCTTAACTGCTTGGGCCTGCCCACATGCAGAGAGCTCCCTGAGTCCTCACAGCCCAGCCCTGACTACAGTTCATCTCCTGGGTCAGACAGCCAAAAAATCTAATGATACCTTGGCTGAAGTTTCACTGCTTTGGTCAAGTCTTGCTTTTTCCAAGCTCTGTTGTTTTGGTTTTCCGTGTTGATTAAGAGTTGTGAATAATGAATTTCTCATTAAATCAAGTTTCCTGGGTCTCAATTTTTATAAAAGATCCAAACTGTCCTTTTGGCAAGGTCAGGCCAGGTTTTCCAAAAGGCTCAGTTTAAACAGGAAGCAGATGGCCAAATACCCTCCAGGCTTTGCAAATTAAATAAACTGGCTTCTGAGTCAGTTACCGTTTTCAGATATACTCTCCCATCCACTGAAGTCTGTTAACAGGAGCAGAACACAAAGAAAATGATTCTCTCTGCTAATACATTTCGTGACAGTTTGCCTAATAAAGTCGTGATTTAGCAACATGATCCATTATTGCTGCAAATGGCAGATTGGGCTCTTTGACAGAGTAATTACAGATAAGAACAGGTTGTGAAGCTGCAGATAAAAAAGTGGGGGGAGGAAGGAATGGTAGCAGTTCCAAGAGCAGATTGGTACGGCAGGACAGACAGAAAAAGTATTCTACTAGTGGTTCTTTATTCTTGAGTAAAAACTGGTGTGTTAGAATAACCAGGCTGTCAGTACTGCTCAGCTTTGTGATCTAGTTCCCTTAACAGCTCCAGGAAACACACAAACCTAGCTGAGCACTCTGTGTTGTCACAGCTGTAGTCCATTAACTGAGAGTTTGGTTTGCAGGGAAAGGAAAGAGGCAGTAGTGATATCAAAGCTAGAATTTAACCACAAGAACCAGTACTCCTACCAGATCTCACAAGCTAAGCAGGGCTAAATCAGCACATGGGAAAAGAGATGACCAAAGTAAAATTCCATGATTAAGGACACTGCCACATTACACTGCAGCCATTTCCATTACCTCAGCAGACCAGGGAAGACTTTGGAGAGTTTCCCTGTCCTTGGCATGGACTAAGGTCTTGATTAGTCTGGTAGGTGGAGGACCAGGACAAACAGGAGGCTATTAGCAGGTAATACATTCATTACAACTAGACCCTGATACAATCAAACACCTAACTCATCAGACTTCTTATATAATTCCTACCATCTGCTCAGAGACCACAAGACAGCCAGATCCTCTTAAGAAGTTTGCACACAGCAATAGTGGAGAGAAGTGTTCCTAATGAGTCATGTCCAGAGAAAACAAAGAGCCTTTGATTCAATCATTTTCCCCTTTCTTTTCTGCTTTACTGCAAGGAAACATTGTGAGTTCACTGCATCTGTCTCAGCTGCCAGCTGTAACTAAAAGGGTGGTATTAACTAAAGAAATACTCATTTATGACAAAGTTTACAACAGTGAACCACTGACTTCCATTATCACTGGACAAATGCATTTGGGGTCAACAGGACTGAGCAGGAGAGCTTGACAAAGCCAGAGGCTGTGGAGCAACACAAACCAGAGTCAGTGCTGCATCCTCTGAACTCTGCACAGGCATGGGAGAGGTGACTGGTTGTGCCCCGGGGGCTGCAGCCTCCAGACTGAAAGAAATAACCCCATCTAGTAAAAATCAGTGTATACCCCTGTTAGGAAGTTGTTCAGAGAAACATAATTTATGTGCACAACGCTCTACAAAAACATTGGAATTGTCTTTTACCGCCCAAGATGGTGACACCAAAGAACAGAAGGGGTTTTTTTTCCCCAGACAGTGGCTACTGAGCTGCAACATTTCAATATGGGAAACCAGGAATAGGCTAAGTATCAAATTTTCAGCCACCATGTAGGCAAGCACTGAAGCACCAAAATATTTGTGGTTCCTGGTACCTAATGAAAAGCAGCTAACAGCATGCTTTGAGGAAAAGCTACAGAGCCATCTGGAAAAAAAATCTAAATCAAATGAGGTCATTTACATGTGAATTACTTTAATAAGTGAAATGAGGCAGAAGAGTGCCCAGTTTTGTCTTCATTGCATGAGAAAACCAATCTTTTGCTAAAGGAAAAAGAAAGTTACATTATTTAGAGAAATGCATTTTTGAAAAGTATAGTAATGTCTGGCTTGCACCTAAAGTTCTCTTTGCAGGAGGCAATAGAGAGAGTGAGGAAGATTCCTGCTATGTTTTACCTATGACTCACCAGTGCTCACCAACAGAATAAGACCAAAGGGGCTTCTAAGCCTTCCTTAACTTCTTCACATGCTACCATGGGGATTTTGGAGTGGAGGCACCCAGGTTTCTAAATCTATCTGTAAACTTCAGACTGAAATCAACTTAGAAACTATGAACTACACTGCCCTGTTTTATAGTGGGATACTATTTCTGGACTGTACTGAGCAGATTTTGGATAAGCCTGAAAATTCTTAAAATGAGATTTGTTATTTAAGTAGATGGGGGCATGAAAGACACCTTCTCACTTTCCTTTGTTATTTATTATTAGTACTTCTATGTGGATGAACCAGTTATTTGCTGATTCCTAACAAACAAGCCCCTAAGCCTTGCCTTCTATGAAGAGTTATTTTTCAAGTCTTTAAGCAGCTCACATTTCAACAGCTTCATTTAAACACCTTTCTCATCACTTCCAAGAATAAAAGAATTAGATAAATGTGAAGAGTTGAATTTGCTAAAATAGCAGGTGAGAATACAGGCACTGCTGAAATTATGAATCCATAAAGAAATATGAAAATTCTTTTTTTATGTCTACCCTTGACATTTTTATTCCTTGTTTAATGTTCTAGCTGGAACTGGAAATGGGTTTTTTCTTCCTGTTTAGTAAACCACTTTCCATAAGTTGCTCATTACATGCTGTATTCAGCTTTTGCTATTGGTCCCAAATGTTGCAAGGTAAAGGAGGTCAAAAATAGCAATCCTCCACATTTTACTGGGTAGGCAATTGCATATGAGGCACTCAGTTCTTAACAATTCCTAGGGTTTGAGCAATTTAATGCAGTTCCAGACCCTGCTCTGCTCAGAGGGGTGTGCTCATCAGGAATTCTGGGAAGGTGGGACCCCAAGATGTTTTACTGCAGATGAGAAGGCAGCACCCTCTGCTGAGTCAACACCCTCTGCCTAGTGCAAACCCTTTAGTTATTGAGCTTAGGAAACTGCCACAAGATCCTACCTGCAAGCCTCCAAAATCAAGTTTTGATACTCAGAGCCTCATAAAGAATTCTGTGTAAATTAGATTTCAATTTCTTTCCGCAAATGTATTTTAAAATGCAAAGACAGAGCAAGAATTGGGCCTGCTGAGCTGACCATTTCCAGAGAGCTGAGTTGGTGCACTCTGAGCACTCTATACCCACCAAGAGAGACAGGCTTTCCAAGAGGACCTTCTTATGATCTCAGCATTTTGTGCAAAATCATGACACTTCACTGTTTCTATGAGGAATATGATCAGCAAATTCTGAATTTTCTTATTTGCAGAACAGACAGAAATAGAGACAAAAGGAGTTGCCAGAGGCCATGCAGTCAACAGCAGAGACTGTTTTAGGACCTAGATAAGATTTTATCATCTACCATATCCAAAATAATGAATTAAATAATTTGCCAAATATTTCAGTATCAGCTCTTTCTTTGGGGAAGGAACTGCGTCACTTTGTGTGATTGCAAATTTCAGGCAAACAAAAGACTATGTAATAATCATATCTTTTAAAGATTAGAACCTTACATTTTAGCAATGAATCATTTCTCAAACAAAGGCAAATGAGGAAGAAGGGGGAGGTCATGAATAGATCCCTGATAGACCAAAATCTTTTCCCACAAACAAGATCCTAGGACATTGTGCAAAGATATGCAGTGAAAGTTTTGTTTAATTTCTTGCCCTCTAAATAGGCTCCTCCCAGCCCACTGTGGAGAACATGGAAAATTAACTTGCCTTAATAAAGCAATTACAGCAGCTTGGCACTTTTCCATTCCATACACCATGAATATCTGACTGTAGCAGCATTTCTCAGGAGCAATATGAAAATACTATTGCAACTGCTGTAGGGAGCTGAAGGGTGACAGACAGCATGACACATTCCAGTATGTCTCCAAGAGAATCACAGAGTGTCATTACCAGCAACTTCTTACCTGACAAGATTGCAAATTGCCTGTGGAGCTGCTCTATTATATCCACTGCTACCAGCGGCCGTATCTCCTGCTGCATGATTTCATCTGTGCAAGGAAAAACAGAAATCTTCCATGAGTTCATAAAGCCTCAATGACAATTTTTTCCTCCTTTAACAACCCAGCAAAACAAAGATGACACTCCAAGCCTAGCCAGACTATTGTCTGAGCTATTATATGACTATTGTGGTAAAGATTATGGTACTTACAGAGTCTCCTCTTCAGCCTATTAACTTCATCTATTGCCTTGTGATTTCAGAGAGAGCTTTTCATAAACCAGCTCCAGCGGATTTGCCAGAGCTTGCCACAGGTTTGCTCAAGCTGACAGCAGCTCCTTACCGCTTCAGGTTCCATATTAAGTCACTGCATTTGGCCTCCCACTACAGCAGTTTTTCAGTCTTTGAAGCAGTGAAATCTACTCCACATACATGGCCCTGTTCCACCCTGAACTCCCCGAGCTCTGCTGGAGGACTTTGTGTAGCCAGCCAATCCACAAGGGTTTCCTTTCCCGATGCTTTTTCCGCTACAAGCAAATTCATAGTAAAAGGAGGAAATAAGGGGCTGTGAGACTTTCTTCTCATGAAAACAAAGCCTGTTATTTTAACTAAGCCTGTTAGTTTAAACACTAAAAAGTTAAAAAGTAACTTGGCAAGCAGCTGGGCAAAAAATGACCTCAATTTTTGTGTGTGATCTATGGAGTGAAAAGCAATTATAGTTTCACATGGAGATAATTTGATCTCTTTTTGTAACAGGTGCACCCAGTTATTTTCCCCGCTCTTCACACCAGTCTAAAGCAGCAACATTTACAAGAAATATCTGCCAACTTAACTGGCAAGATCAAGGTTTATGTTATAATGACATCTATTGGAACTACTCCTTTAGCCACTGTACAGAACAACAACCAGTCCTGGTGTTGTACAGATCACCTCTAAGTACCCAGACAGCAGGTGGAAGGAAGGAGGCTGGGTCCAGATAGACCACAGACCTCTCAGAGACTTGCTCAGCCCTCCAGGGTTACAAACCTGCCAGTAGTTGAGTTTGTGTTTGATGTTTGCCAATGTGAAGACTCATTAATATTAACCAGTCTTGAGCAAAACAGAAATTCCACCACCTACCCAACCCCTATTTAGCTTTATTGGTTTGCTCTAAACATAGCTTTGTTTCTGATTTCTAAATATCCTTTTTATTCAGAAGGTTTTTGTGATGTAAGGATAAGATGAAGCAAAAGAAAAAAGAACTGCAGGGTGCCAGTTAGTTCTTATCAAATCCCCTGCCTGGGGAAACCTCATGGGATTGCTGTAAAAGCCACACTCAGGAGGAGATGTTCAGATGATGAGAAAGGTGGTACAAAACACATTTGGTGACAAGGAATCACACATCCAATAAGTCAGTACAGTTCATACACTGACATGCTGGGAAAAGCAATTGCAGCCAAAGAAACTAGCAGGGGACAGAAAATCTGAGAAAACAAGGGAAGGTGCCTCACAGCCCAGTGGGCAAATCAGATGATGTGGCTTTGAAATGTTAGCAGCTGTAGCCACAGCACTGAAGATCCCATTTGCACTTCCTCTAGGACAGTGCTTAAAGGTATTTACTCCCCAACATGGAAGAATTTGTAATACCATCACAGCATAGACCTTGCAGTAGAAGTCCCAGTCCTTGGAAACATGATTGATTACCTGGGGCTGCTGGAGGAAGTTTTTAATCTTTGACTAGAAGAAAAGCTTGAAAAAACTCTTATAAGCAAACAAAAAGACACAAGTCTGGGTTTGTTTCAAAGCTATGACATTTGCCTAGCACAGGCGAGCATTAATCATTGATATCTTCCACTGGCTTTATCCCAGGAAGCTCTGAAGCCTCTCTGGTCTGAACGGCAAGCCAGAAGGCAGCAGGAAGTGCTGCTCACCCTCCTGGGTAGATGGAAGGGACCATTTTTCTGGGGACTGATATTCCAGCTGAGAAGCCCCTTCTTCAGGGTGACATGAGCTGGTATTGAGCTGACAGCCACAGGTTCATAGACACTTCAGAAAAACTTACTGATGGCAGGCACATTTTAACACTCCATGGGGCCAAGGGGAAGGTTTCAGGAAGCTGAAAAGCTGCAGGAACGTGACAAGTATCTTGTCTCATAGCATCCCTTGCTAATATCTACAGAGGACATTGGACAACTCCTGGTCACTTCAGAGCAGTCCTGTCCTCTGATAAAATCTGTATTTCTATAGGCATGCAACTCAAGATCTTATCAAAACATACACCAGCCAAGTGTCTCTGCAACATATTTATTTTGGGAAACTTGACTCAGACATTTCCCACCTTCTGTGTGATTGCTCTTGTGGTCTTCACTTTTTTTTTTTTTTTTTTTTTTTTGAAGAGGCAGTTATTCATAGCCTCTGAAATTTCAAAAAGAAAAATTGAATTGTTTGGTGTTACATGAAACAATGCCAATCCCCTACACGGGTCATCAAAGATGAACATTTACATTTACCATACTGTTCTTCATTACTTGAATTAATTGAATTTGTCAGGACAATTTAAATATATTTGAATAAGGATGTGATAAAAGAGGAAAAAAATAAAAGAAACAAGTCAGTTCATGTACTCTTGGTTCTCCTCTTAAATTACTATAAATTAAATTCCTAGCAGAGGCCAGTTTCAATGCAGAAGAATTAGGCCTTACAGTTTTGCTTCCCAAGGTTTTCTACCAAGGGGGAGGAAAAGAAAAGCAATTACTACAGCCATCTGTCTGGCACAGCTTCTCCTCCTTCCCAGCTCTCCAGGGAGGCTCACTGCAACTGTGCTATCTGATCCTCAAGGGAAAGCCATTCAGTTATGCTTCATAATTCCTCATTCAACAATGCAACCTGCTTGGGCTTGCAAAAACACACTTATTCTGTGTTTCATCCAGCTCTTTGTGCTCCCACAGCAGGTCTGGAGGAGCAACACCAACAGCAGATGGTTAAAACAACAAAGAATATCCCCTTGTTCTTTCCTCTCTTCTCTGAGCAGACACAAACTGGTTTACATGCTAATGGCAACCAAGTGTTTCCAAGAGCACTGGAAAGGTGACCTGCTGGAGTGAGGGCCTGGACTGCACCGGCAGATTGACACAGCAGTGCCTGTTGCTCCACCAAGGACAACTAAAGGCCATCAGCCACACCAGGACATTGGGGTTTCTTTGTTTTTAAGTGGCTGGAGGCTACAACTGCCTGGCCTTCTGCTGACTGCAGGAGAGGATGGCTTCAATCCCTCATCTGAAGCCACTATTCTTGGAATAATGGGCTACAAATTTCCAGAGCAAAGTTCATGTCTTCTTAATGATAGTCTAATATGTAATTCACAGTGAAAGAAGACAGCTGACAGTGAAAGAAAATCTTTTCTAAAATAGTCAAGTACATCAGCCTACTTCTACTTTGTGCAAACTGTCAAAAGTTATGCTCAGAGTTCTCATAATGTTTTTGAGAAAAATCAGATTGCTGATGTGATGGAAAAGGGTCAGACAGGATTAAGCATCAGGTCAGATATTTCTTGGTCAGATATTTCATTTTAAGAACGTGAAAGCACACCTTACATTATGTGTTCTTATGCTCTTTAGAAAGTACCAAAAGGCAAATCCAAAGTTTGAAAGTGGCAGAATTCCTACAGTCCAGAACTTCTCCCAGGTCCTGAGTCTGCTTTGCTTGCCACCAACAGCCAAGTCTAGCAGAGCTAAGTTAGGTTTCAAAAATTAAATACACTGAGGGAACAAATTTGCACATTTGACTGATAAGGTTTAAGCAGGCTAAAGAATTTGAAAATATTCTGTCCCACCAGAATTCTCAGTTCAAGTCCTTCAGCAAAACATTTCCCTTTTTGAAGGTCAAAAAGAACTTCAAGGTTATTACATCAGAGAAAGAATCTCTTAGTTTGGAATCCTTTTTTTAAATTTCTATTCATTTATCTTTCTCACCCATTGTTTACTTTCTGAAAAGGTTTGTTTATTCCCTCAGCCTAGGCAGACAAACAGTGAGGTCAGTTACTGATGCAAGCTGCTGTGCTACAGATTGTTCTAAAGAGGAACTAAAAATCTAGCTATAAACAGAAGGGAAATCTCATGCTTTCTCTTATTCCTCTGCACATTCCTGCCACCTCTTTTTTTGCTCACCCATGTTGAGTCAACTGAAACTAAGCCAGGAATAACATTATTGTAAATAAGGTGAAGAATCATTTCCTCAGTGATTGCTTCTGATCTGGGTTAGCTCTCTGCAAAGCTGCTTGAAGGGTACAAGTGCTGGTAATGCATAGGAGGGGTGGCAAAGCCAGGACTGTCCTTCCAGGAGATAATCACACTTAGGTCAGCTTAGGGCAAAGGCCAAAATGAAGCATAGGTGGCTGTTATCAACTTCTCTCTCAGATCAATTTTTCACCAAGCACAACTGTAAAATCTACAAAGATTATTTGTTTAAAAGCAATTTCTCTTCTCATTAAAGCCAAGTTTCATAGCAGAGTTTGGGAGCCGTCTTCCAAAGACTGAATCTTTCCAAAATATTTAAGTAACTCTTGGTCATGTTTGGAAGTGTCTGTTTAAGTTGGTGGATTTTTAGTTGCAACAGCAACCCAGTTTTGTGTACACTTAGATAATAGATATCTGGAGAAGCAAGGTTAGGAGCAAGATCCTGCTTTGACTGATGCACTGTCAGCATGTTCCAGCACCTTGAGAAGGGGACAGACTGAGGCCTGGTGTGGAAGGAATTGCCTTGCAAATTTTCCCAAACAATCTCCATGAAAGGTTAGAAATGCACCTTTCTCTGAAGAGCTCAGAAAGCTGTGAGTCCCAGTGTCGACCTGGGCAGAAGCTGAACTGGTGCCTGATGTGATTTTCTGTCACACAGATGTGCTCTGAAGTTTTCTCCTGACATCACACTGAGTCATGATTGGTATTTTCAAGGCATTCTGTGCAGTTTAATGATGGAGGTACAGCTTTACCTGAGCCTGCTCTGCAGGCACATATTCCTGCTGATTTTAAGTCTTTCAGGGAAGACTGTTCAAATTCTTCATATCACTGTATTTTT